GTCATTGATAATGATCCGGCAAAGTGTCACTTGTCTCTTGGTCCATCGAGCAGAGGTTTGTTCAAGAAAAACTTAATGGTTGTTTTACTTATTTTTTCTATCCTCTTAAATCTTCGTTACTGGATCATCGGCTTTCCTTTATTATACCTAGGCCCGTTTCCGGTCCCTGGGATTTACTGTACCCGGCCATTCCAGTCATTCATTCCCATTCAGGACTCGGCACGCGTCCCATCGGTCTTCCAGATCTTTTGCGTGATCTACCGAGACAAATAGCTCTGAGGATTTTTTCAAGATCGTCTTGATCCTCCGGATACAAGGTAGATCAAAGAATTCTTTAAATTCAATTCGATTTATATGTATCATTCGTTACCTAGTATACGTGCTGAATACTCCTTTTATTGATAGAGAGAACAAAATTCATTGGGATTGTACGAGGAAGCATGATGGCACATAACCTCATTTCATTAGTGCATTATGCTATTATTCTTCTGGCATAACAACTTTACTTATTTTCTCCTGTCGGCATCGCTAGAAAGCGTGACGGGGCAGTCGGTTCGCCCTAACGGCAACGTCTCGATATGCTGTAATTGTTACGATCATCAGGCTGAGCTCTTTCTCCATGTTTCGTAAGGTAAACCATCCATTTCTGTATTACAGACAGACTTAACAGCGTCAGAGCCATCTAGTTACTTCTTTGTGTCTCTTCCAGCAGCCAACCAAACGTAAAACGATACTCTTCCATTCGCAGCCAAGTTCACTCGACCCTTAAGCAGTTACAGAAGCTGCCTAGTTAAACAGCTGAATGGTTGAGTGTTGATTTTCTTAAAAAAAAAAAAAAAAAAAAAACCCAATCACTGCAGCTTAATATGAAAATTAGGCGAACGAAGCTCTCGGAAAGCACCTTCGACGTACCACTTCCGGCGTAAAGTCGCGACGCTCGGGTGGAGATTCAAGAATTAAAAGAAAAAAAAGAAATTTGTTATCTCCAAGGGCCGTTGAGCCTTTCGGGTTAACTGAAGGCGTGCAGCGAGCTGGTACCGGCTGTTGATATTTGCTATCTTCGTGTTAAAACAAACGTTTCCGTTCTGTGCTCTACCTGCCTTCTCTTTTTACGTTTATCTGACTGGACTATTCGAGCGCATGGGAATGCGCCATGAAAACAGGACCCACGCACCTTATGTACATTGTACATAGGAAGTTTGGGATACGTCACTGGTACTTGGTACCTTCGTACTGTGCTATCTTGTGAGATCCTTGTTTCCTTTCCTCCTGCGCAGTATCCACGTATTCGGAGTCTAGTTACCAGCATCTCAGCTTCCCGTGGCGCAACCTTCTATTTATTTTATATGATGCCAACCTGCGTCCACTCTATCGAGTCTCGCACGTCGACCGCCTTGTAAATTATAAATGATATACACGTGGTCGACATAGAGGATGGTGGAAGGCGAACGGGTGAAGCCAGTGGCTCATTAGCGCTCGCAATGCTTCGTTAATACTCAAGCAGCAAATGGCGTGTTGCGTGTCCAGCAAGAGGTAAGGGTACTACCAATCGAATTATGAGAGAATGTAACAAAAGAAAATTTTTTTAAAAATTATTAATATTTTATTTATCACACTCCCATAGTCCTTTAACGGGTTATCTTTATCTTCCTTTTGCCACTCGATACAGTCTATATGCTCTTTCTTTGTGTTATTCACGTATCGAATTACTCGGTACTTCGTTTGACTGTAGTGTACGTATATCTATACTGTGTATTAACTTCTGCCTCATGACAGACTAAGGATAGACTCGTCAGAGTCTCCGGTGACTAACGAACACGTAGTTAAATGCTGGTAGATCTCTTTAGCATTCCGTACTCAAGATAACCGCAAGGCGAAATTCCATGAGTTACTAAGGACAAGTTACATGGAGACGGGTAACAGTTGGTAATATTTAGATAGGGATGGGGATTGTCTGGAAATGAAATATATAATAAATTCTTATTCTGTCGTTTAAATCGATACTCGCTACTTTGGAGGTTATGGGGAAGCAGGATTAACGTTTTTTTTTCTTTTTTTTTTCATTTCTTTTTATCTTTCCTACTTACATACCTCGCGGTCCCTTGTTCGGCTCGTGCAGTTGCCATGCGAAATCTTCCTTAGAAATCAACGACGCTTGATCAGCCTGCGCATATAAGAGAGTAATGTCCGAGCAAAGCGGCCTGATCCTGGCATTCTCTTGCTCGCGGTCTGTGTCGCACTCCGCACATTATGTACGAAGCTGAACTCAGGGGTCTCAGGTTCCTGAGAACCGAACCCACCCGAGTCCCATGCCTCGGGAACGAGAACCTATGTTACCTACGGGCATGCCACACCTTTCGCACGGTTATTCTTTTTTTTTTTTTTTCAAATTCTCTGTAGAAAGTTTGCCCTTATCTCTCTTATTGGTTATGTGCACGAGATTGGGTCTGTGAGAGTTCTTGTTGAGGTTAGAAAGACAATTAGGTTAGGTGCGATTACACTCTCGATCCTTATTACCAAAAGTTTTGACAATTTCAAACGGTTGCTGATTTGTTAATCAGACATACAATATTTACGCATCAATGATATTTCGAGCACTTTGAGTCCGGTGCAGAGTAGCCTTTATGCTTGTCAGCTGCGACTGGCTACCTTCTTCAATTCGAATAGGCGTCTCGCGGCAGCCGTTGCTCTTGACAGTTGGCTGCTCGACGGTAGTTCTCTTGTATACATAAAATCTGAGCAATGCTATTTATGCATTGCTATAATTAAACGTTAATTGCAACTGGTGGAGTGATGCTTAGTGTTAGGAATCGTCTGAAGGACTACAGTGCGTCTGTTTATATGGATACGATGGGTGAACGATTGGAGGTTATACACGCGTAAGCAGGCATCTACGTAAGTCGAAGATTTATTTCTTCTATTTTATACTTCCTTTAACTTTTTTTTTTTTCATTTTACCTTGTTATTTCCTGCGCGTTCAAGGCTTCTCTTTTTTCTGAGCCAATCGGGGATAGCTCTAATTTTCAAAATGATTACTCGTACGTGGAATCGAACTCTCTTGTGCGTTCATTAAGGTTTTACCAAGGTCATCCGCATTAAATCACCTCAGGATGAAAAGACTTGGTGCACCTGGTACGACGTTGGGTAGCAAGAAATCAAATGAGCCTGAGATCTTACTGTGGTGCTGCGCCAGATAATAACGCGAAGAACGAGAGCGAGTAAAGGGCACGAAAGAAGAACTTGGCATATATGGAAATAAGTGCGGAGCTGGTGGATATGAAAGTGAAGTGTGTGAGAGAGAGAGAGAGAGAGAGAGAGAGAGAGAGGGAAGAGAGAATTGTTTTGAGTATATAAAAGCGAGAAAGATATACTGGTGCACGCCTCTTGGCAGAACCATAAAACCGTTTTATTAGTAATTGCATGCCGACAGCCAAAGGTTATTGCGTGTACAGAAAAACTTGTAATTCCATAAATTCACGACTAGATTTTCTTTAGTTATTAAGGGAACGATACATGTTTTTTTAAATTATATTTTATTTTGATATATTTTTTACGTGTTTGAATTGCTAAAGAAAATATATCCGTATCCTGATACGTTTTTAAAATTCGACAATTTTCGAATTCTCGCTACAATGCAATTTCACTGAGGGTACCATAGACGAGTTCAGATTATCTATATATTTTAAAAAATCAATTTTCAAAATATTACGTCCAGGCTATCTTTTCGGTATAAGTTTTTTTTCCATCTGTCTTTTTTCATTATCCTGACGAATCTTGAGAGTACTGGAGCCGGGATGCTGGAACACGAAGCATAATACATCCTGACTGACGCAGGGGATGAATGAATTCATAATAAAAACTGGCCAGGACTTCCGGTGCATGAATCTTCGCGGTCACGAAGAATTTCGTAAAAATTCCAGAGGGAAGCGGACGCGCCGCACGGTTTTTGCAAGCGGGAGCAGTTTTGCGACCGCAAGAGAATCGCTTGAACGAAAAATACGTAAATGACTGACGAGGCTAATTATTGTTGCTCTTAATTGATATTAAACGTCAATAGAACCGTAACGTGTTTGCGGTAGATTTAAAACGGCGGAAATGTCAATAAAACAAAGTACCTCGAGCAGTGAGCAGCTTTACGCGAATTAACCGGATGCAATGATTTTTCTTGTAGCGATGACCATTTCCGAGGTACGACCAACCGCCGTTGCCCTATTACCATAATAACAATACAGTCCTACATTACTATTCCATTTCCACCAAAAAGCTCTCGGAAATATTCTTTTTAATATTTTTAAGTGTCCCATTTCCGTAGCAACATGCCTGCCTGACAAAAAATGGTGGGTCGATTTAAAGCGGAGACCGCCAATCGCTTAGCCTTGTATATTAATCTAGTAACTTTTTTTTCTTCTTCATTTTCTATCCACGTTGGTACCACCGTGCAAAATAAAATAATTTCCCACCCTTTATACTCGTATTACCTTTCTATTGGTATTACATATATGTATAGATCAGACTGACCAAAGTTTTTCCTATCTCACATATGGGATATAGTATATGTATATGTAATACCTATTATCTCTCGTTAAACAAACTATAGCATAGATACACCTGTCCCTCGGAACATTTAATTGCAACGATAATGACCTTTCACGGATCGTTGACTGAACAGCATGTGGGTATAATATGGATTCAAAGACCATTGCATTAAAATATCCCTAACTATAACAGTTTATTAATAGCAAATGCCACCCTCAACGGAACTCGTTACTGATTCACTGACTCCTGACGGTTTTCTCTACCGTTTTAAATTCATTCACGACTTACGAATTAATTAGTGTAATTATCCGTGTGAAGGTTCATTATACCGGTAAACCACATATTGGTACCACGTACCAGTTCATGGGCAGTATTATATATTATGTTATTCGTATAGTCTACGTATATTAATAATATAAAGTATTAAAATCATAAACCTACAATATTTTATCGTCTGATTTCAGAAGCCTCCGTCGTGACGACCGACGTCTTTCAGGATTACGAACCGCAGCTCAAAGTCGGCTGTTACTTCTCGGCCGAATTCCAGGGTGAATTCGTGATGCAGGTCAGCGGCAAGAGTCCCAGGGGTTCCATGAGCAGGGGCGGACCCATTCAGTATTCTACTGTCAACATCACATTCGATTCGATACCTGTCTGGGGTTACTGTCATCAAAGAGTCGGTGATAGAGTACTGCTCATTGACAGGTGCGACACAGTATATATTACTATACATATTTTCAATACAGTCATATACTCTTGGTTCACACTGTACGCAACGAAAGTGCTTTTGGCACCCTCTAGCGGGGATTCTGCGAAGTACAAAGTCGGCTGTAAAAATGGAGCGAGCGACTAGCGAGACTTAATGGAAGTTAAAGTGGCTCACGTATCTATTTACGTGTGGAGATGAATTAGCATTAGGGATGCCCTTGCTGTTCCTATCCCCGGAGTACGTGTTCCTTGTCGACACAATTATACACCCTGAGGAATTACGTGAGTCGGATGGTTACTAAAGTCAGTCAGTCCCGGGTCACCCTTGGGACACGAAGGATCTTCAAAAGTCTTTGTCGAGTGTTCCATGAGTTCTCCAAATTGGTTACTTTGCTTCTATCGAACCTGGACGAAAAGGTCTGGCTCTCTTATTAGACACTCGTCGGGGATGCCAGGGGTCTGGTTGTCTGAGACGTGTCTACGATGGAAATAGAAGTCGGTCCAGACAGTGGCAGACGCACGAGGAGACCTAGTCTGGATGCTACTAACACTAATTTGAGGCTACCTGAAAAATGAGAAATGGCACAGGGCCAGGTTCACTCCTGCATTCGAATCGATCTTGTATCCTGGATAGCATCCTCTTCCACCAGGACTAGGTACTTCAAGAACGTTCGTATGACTTACCGATCGTATCTTGATCGCTTATACTTTTCTAACTGTTCGTACCCACCTTTTAATACCTGTCGTTTGTTACTAGGCTTGGGACTTAGGACCCTTTACCATCCACGTCATACGTTGCTTCTCCATGGAACTGAGTCGCGGCTTTTACACCAGTGTGGGTGTTGGCCGAGCAAGAATGCATAAATTGCCGTCCACGCACGCCCCTGCCTGCTTATACTTCGCGATTCACGTTGAATCGTTAACGAGCTACCGGTCAGGAGTGTCTCCGTATCGGTATTCACTTCCCGGTTTCAAAGAGAAAGAGACAGAAAGAGAAAGACAAAATGTTAAAATTAAAATAGATCCTCTAGTTGCGAACATTTTCACTTATCTGGTACACGTGTCCGCTTGGCTGTGCCATACGATTACTCACAGTATCCCATGGTTACCACAGGAGACTGTATACTGAAAATTATTCCTAGAGATTGATGGTTATCTCAATATTTTTTTATGATTTATGTGAAAAGACTCTCTGTACGTAATACTACCGGCATAGGTATATAATGCCTAGGGTATATCTATGTGTACAGGCTCTAACCTTAATGGAGCAATTCCAGCAGGTTAGCTAAACCATGAGAAATTCAACTTCCTCGGCCGATAACATTTGCACGGCTAATGGACCTCCTGTTGGTTTTATGTAACATTGGTACACTAGGTGGTCTGTTTAATTTTATAACTTGCTACCATGAGTCTTGCTGGAAGGACCTGTACCTAACATGTACCGATGGTTATGGGTACCAGCACACATTCGACTTCCTTTGAAAAATGTTGGGAATCATGGGGGATACTTGTACGTGTAGAGTAAGGGCCCCACCTTTCTATCGGATAGGACAGCTTGTGTTCCTTTTGCATTGCATACCACCTTCCATTAATCTCCATGGGGTCGAGGACTGTGAGTCCCAGAAGAAAGGACCCGAACCCTCTTAACATTTATACTTATCGAATTCACATTTCGACATCCTGCTTTATACATTTTTTCATCTTCTATTATATATATACACACGTGTATATCTGCTCTTCGATTTCCTCTTCTTGCGGTTTATTTACAAAAATGGTATAAGCTATCATGATTGTTCAATCATCACTCCCTTCGTTTCTTTTCCCCCATCGAAAATCCTTGATTGCGGTTTGTCGACCTACACTTTTAAAATAACCTGTAACGATGGTTAACTGCGGTCTAAGTGGACCACACACGTGGCAGATGCACCAGCGCCAATATACATTACGTTAGTTCGCATACATACGGTAGCTCCTTTACTGCGTACCTCGTCCTTTATAGTTTTATTATCAATTACAGTCATTAGCATTATAGTGTATAACTTAGGTGCGACTTATATTTTTTTTTTTATATACAAAATTTATACCAGAAACTTACCTTAAGTTCATCGACGAAACTCTGTAACTCTTTTGTATCGAATTTGTGACCAGCGACTGACTGACTCAAGTTATCTAATTTTCTTAATGGCTTAGCTCATTTTTGTTTCGATAACATCTGCACCAGGAGAAGTCGTTGCCACTTGGCAACATCCGTGACACAACAGTAGGGAATAAATTCTCGACGCACGTCTCGTCATACTTCCTGTATTTCGAAAATACAGCTACCCACTTAGACAACTTTGTATATCTGTATGTCCAAGTCTGGTTGCAGCCCGATGCATTATCATTGAATTCACTTTCAGGTACGGAGACGGAGACTGTATAAGGTGTTTCCGACTCCTGAGAAGATCCCGTAACGTGATCGAGGTCTTCTCCGAGAATCTGAACAGGTGTTACACATCGGAATCCGGAGCTCTTGCCTCCTGCGAAACTCTCAACTCCACAGCTATTTTGTACCGTGAGTATATTACATGCATATATCTATATCTATGCATACGTAGACATAACAGTAGAGTGTTAAAAGTATATAAAAATGTTACAGGTCAGGATGAATTTTGAAAATAAAAAAGAAAATGGAATCGATAAAGGTCACGAGGTTAGGAAATTTCGAGTTTCGCAATAGGTTATAAATAGGATCTCTATGCAAACTCGCTGTCCTATGGTAGTCGTTAAATTACCAGGGACTTTTAATTAACGTTAATTGCTCAGCCTACGAAGGAAGTAATGAAGCTTGCGTAACAGCTCAGGAACAATACAATGGCGGATGCCGCTCTTTTCTCGAGGCTTCAAGATGACGCTACCATACCGACTCTCGGTATCCAGGCTGTTGGCTGTTAATGCTAGGCATACGGAAAATATGCGCGAGTCGTTGCGTTTCTCACGCGCGGTTCAATTAGAATGCTTTGTGTACGATTGCGTATTTACATAATCGGCCATCTATCCGGTATCAGGACGAGGGTTATTGACTTCCGATTACGGTAGAAATATTCTTTGAATTACTTTGATGGATATTTGGAACAGGATATGGTCGTGAGGTTGTGGAAGGTATTGAAAAAAAAAAATATATTTTCTAATAATTTTTATTCATCACTCTCCTCGTTATTACACTTGAGCAAGAATCACGGACATTTATATTTTATTAGACGGAATTCACAATGCTTGCTGCGTCTCGCAACCGATACGGTTCACTCGCTTGGAACGGGTATCATAACCATATTCCATGGTTTGCCAAGTCATGGTTACTGGATCGTATCTAATAGAAGAGCAGAATACCGAATTCACCCTGTGTCACCGTAATGCTGGGTTCACGTTTTACGTCCACCTGCAACTGGCGTCTCGGCGTTTAACCCGCAAAGGACTCCCGTTACGGCGAAGGATCAAGAGGACACGGACTCACAATGGAAGTCATTCTTAGGATGTAAATTGCGACCTGATTCTTCAACTCCTTTCAACGGCCGCCATTACCAATGGAAGGTATCACGATACACTGAGTATCTGGACATTTGAAATCGGCAGTTCAGTCACGATATAGAAGCGTCATGGAAAATCAGAGCAGAAAAATGCCAGACGGACTCGCCGGGGAGAGGTTTCTTGTTTGGATGAAAAAGTGGAAAAATGAGTTAAGACCCGATAATGAGCGTGGGTCACGAAAAAGTAAGTCCGTGGTCGGCACTAGCATTCGTCGTCTCCAGGGAAGCGTGACAGCCAGTCAGGATGCTCTCAGGATTGAGGTGTAGACGCCGATGAATTTCGTCGCTCGATGGGACATCAAAATTACTTGGGATCATCTTGATGAACGATTGGCCACGCGACAAGAACTCATCCGAATTCGGTTTACAGGCCTTTCGACTCGAGGACGTTAAAATTTTTCGTTATCGAGCCTATTATTGGGAGCTCAATTTATCTACGCAAGGCGTGGGAGTCTTTGATGCCGATCGATCCTCCTGTAATAATTCTGAGATCCGAGGAAGCAGCAGAGCATTACGAGGACTGACGGGGACCAATCAAGCGTGCTGGATTGGTATGCCTGATGTATACAACGTGTGTACGAGATTGTTTGGAGTTCAGTGAAGATCGATAGGAGAATACTAACAGCTTTGAAGATCTATTATCAGAGGAATTTGATGATAACGGTAGAACCGATTATTTTGTGATTGGCGAAGGATCGATAAAGAAATTATTTTTATATATCAAAAGACTTGGTACTGGTATTTAAATGTTTCTCTTCGACCTGTTTTTATCTCTGAATGTCTTCGTCTTGAAGATCTTCGGTTTTGTGTTGATTGAGAGACAGAAGCCAGGTAGACTTTTGGAAGAAAAGTAAATTACTTAACGAACAATACTGTAATTGTCACCAGTGACAGCTGTTTGACAGATTACATTTTATAATGATTTTTATTTATTTGACTGTCAACGTTAAAGTCCTATGAATCACACTGTACTCGGTATCTTACGTCGTGCTTTTTTCTTCCTGAAGATGATGAAGCGTTACAAGAACAAGAAGTTAAAGAAGAAGTAACATCGAGCTGATATCTTGGAAGGTACCTGTCGCACCACGACCTTCCCCGTGACTAAAGGAAATCAGTCATGGCGCAGAGGACAAAAGTCTCTAGTCAGCATTCCTAAGGTGGACAATTTTCCACGAGTCTCCAGAAGAAAATCACATAACCCTGTAATAACAAGGCATTTTTATTTTACAACCAATGTATCGGAAGAACGTGGGGATACTCGTAGGCGCCAACCATAAGACGCACAATCCGCCATAAGAATATCAATTTCACTTGTGGTCAGACCATAAGGAACTGTCTCCGGTGTCTCAAGAAGAAGCCTGACCCAGACCCTGAGGAACCCCACGAAAATGTTTGGTCTTGCATATCTACACTGATGCACGAGGCTATACTCGAGAGAAAGATAAAGGCGGAAGAAAAGTAAGAATAGAGAAAGACGCAAGAAAAAAAAAAAAGAAGAAGAAGTAAAAAGTAGACCCTTTACGGGAAAGTGGTATGGAGTTTCAGCTACTTCCTGTTTGGGGTGCACGTCCCATTGTCGATGGCGTCGTTGGCCACGGGATATGGCATATTTGTGACTGCGGTCGAGCGCGCTCCTTTCTATGGGAAGCTCTATGATTTATTATGGTGTCTATTCTTCACGACCCTAGTCTCCCCGGAGACTCATCACACTCGCACCCCATACACGCCATGTTATACACGTAGTAATACGCGCGTCATGTTTCTTTTTTTTCATATCGTTTCACGCTTAGTTCTTGCCTCAATTTTTACATTTTTTTATATCTATATTAATTCTAGTTCCACTTTTGACCATCCATCGAATCTACTGTTTTTACTGTTATATGAGGTTGTTTAGACAAAACGTACTACCTGAAGTTGCCTGTTTGTTTTATTCATATCGTAGAACCAGCTGATACGTTTGTACTGAGTAACCCTGTATATCTATTGTGCCAATGTTGGCATTATGGACAAATTCATATGTGTTACTTCTTGTTACTCTTCTTATGTCACAATCAAACTACAAATATAATCTAGTTATGACTATAAAGGCGCGTCTAAAGGTGCGCTCATGCGTAGCGACCATTCTGTATCTCTAACTCGACAACGGAAATTAGTCTTCTTCTGGCGAACAGCCAGATTTTCCAGACACGTTCGCATTGCGGTAACTTTACGAGTTACGATCTCTTCGCGATTTTATTTTATTGGGCTGATCTCCGTCGGTTATTCATTGGCAAACGGGTTTCTGCGCAGGAAAATTTAGTATAGTTTAGAGATATATGGACTTTTGTATTTGTTGTATTTAGACTTTTGTTATTTATTATAATATTTCTAATTTTTTTTTATATTTTTCGTCATTCCAGGTACCAGGGAGATTGGCGGAATTGACATCAGGAATGAATATTGTCCAATAGCTGGACATTATCACTTCACCTATAACATTAATGACGGATCCGAAACGAATATTGAGTGCAATACATTTTCCTCGGATCTTGGAAATTGTCCAGACGGTTCTGTCTTCCATTTGAAATTTAAAAGATGCTCTTTCGAGGATCACGGTAGGACACATTCGGCGAATCGAGGCGAGAAATCTTCGTTAAAGAGTGAGCGGAAGTGGTCGTTTTTTTAGTCTTGAATATTTTTTTTTGCTGAATCGCCATTTAATCAGAACTTATTTGCTTGCCTGGACTGACAGTGTGACTCATCTTTGTTATTTTTATGCTCTATGCACGGTTCAACATCTGAAAGAAATAACTGCGTCATTAATTTTTGTCTTATTTAAAGAATTGCATTTGGGATGACTTGTATATAACGATTACTTAGCTCTAACACGAATGCTCGCTTAGATTTATTTATCCTCCTTTTCATTAATTCAATAAACAATTGCGAGTATATTTTTATTTTTATAGACATCACATTTAATTGTTTGGGAAGCTGGGATGGCGGTCCAGATGGCTCGAGATATATTGCTCTTCTGGATACAAGAGAGGGTGCCGAACGTAGACCACAGTATCGTTGCGGAGTAAGTGTTATTTTTAATACATAAGTAATAACATGAAAATATTTTCTTTCTCTTTGCTCTACGATATTCTAACTTGACTTTAATTCATTTAGCTGTACCACGTGGATAGCAAAAGAGGAAAAACATACTTGGCCTTTAGCAGCGATTCCAGTTGTACTCAGAACTTGGAAAATTCTACCAGTGGCTATGAAACTTTGGTACTGAGTAAAGCAACCAATCAGAAAAAGGTGCCAGAGTATGTGAAAAGTCATCTGGCGACGTAAGTATATAATCAAGGGATTTGATTGGTCCTTAAGAAATTATGAAAGACACTGTACGAATTTTTTTTGTCAGATTTCCAAAATGGGCACAAGGCGAATGGGAGGAATCATTGATCGTTAACGGTACAATGACGTTTACCGATCTCAATGGTTACAAGAGCTACACTTTTGTCACTGTGGACTCCAACGATGAAACCGGACATTACGTCGTATATTCGAAAGATCAATGGTAAACCTTTTTATGTAGTTTCCAATAAGTGTATAACGATCCAGCCAGTTCGATTAGATCTTGAAATTATATGGTTGCTGATTTATAATCTTGTAATAAATTTTCAGCGAAGAGGAAGCGTACGTCTGTCTGATAATGCGACAAAGAAGCGAAAACGTATTGGAATTTACTACAGGAGGTGTATCCAGTCCAATTTATCAAAGTTACCTGTGCGATGATCCTAATCTGGACAAGTCAGCATGGATGACCCAAGCAAGTCAGTGTCCATGGACAGAATCACTTTTTTTCATTTTGTACAAGATAGTTGAGAAATACTTGACACTCTCAAGTACGGGCATTGCAATGCAGTTAGTTTTATATTAACATGTCATTTAATCCTACCAAACAGGAATTGAACGAGTCGTAGAATCTCCATGTCCAATCACTGGGGAATATACGGGAATGATAACAGATCTTTCTGGAATGTGTGCTGAGTTAAGTAGCAATTGCAACACACGTGAGATCATGTACTACAAGGTCAGCGATTGCGAATCCGGTGAATTATTCGAAGGTATTATTAAATGATGATCCAAGCGAAGTAACGAATTTATTACGATTCCTTGCGCTTTGTCATTTTATTAATTATTATTTATTTCAGAACGTACGTATCTCTGCCTAGGACAATGGGAAGAGAAGGGTGTTATGTATACGTATACCATGAGGAACGATACCAGCACCAATGAGTGTTTCGTTGGATTGATCGTGAACGACGAAGAGATCTACATAAAGGAAGCTGGAGATCATTGTATCAGGAATATAGATCCAAAACAGCAGGGAATGCGTCTTTATAAGAAGGGTAATTTTCTAATCTGACTTTCGTCCCCATAAAATCAGAAATCGTTGCACGGATCTTCTATGTTGTGAAAAGAGCCACTCCTGGCTTCTTTCTTTTGCATCGGAATGATCATTTATCTTGGCTTTCCTTTTTATAAAATTCCTACGACCATTCCATACCTGATCAGGAACATGATTGCAGGACAGTGTTATGGAAATTCACCTAGTCCAGCTCCTACGCCGATGAAGCCGATCGCTCACGATCCGATAATGCGGATCACCACGACTCATCAATCCAGAGTGCCAGGTAAGATTATATTGTGTAATGTAATACGAGTAATCCCATTCTTCTACTTCCTGGTGCAAGATTATGCATATCTTCAATCAATAATATGTTTATGTTAACTAGCAGGTACCACAAAAGCACCACCAAGTTCAGTTCCTTCGTCGGCGACATCAACTATCTCCGGGATCACGATATGGTCCTTGTGCCTGACGATGCTCTTCGTTCTTGCCAAAAATACTTCATACGAGTTTGAGTAACGACATGGCTCCCAGGGAGTCAATCGATTTTAGGTTAGACAATTGATATTCCTATTTTCGTATTAACGACGGGCAAAGGCGCCTCATCGTCGGCGTTCTGGTCGAATCTTAGATAGACACAGAGTATTTAAATGACTAATCAGTAGGTTAGAAAGCATTGTAGAAAAAGATTATAGAAACGTTATATCATGTTTTATACTGCGACATATTACGATAAGGCATTCGAATTTTTTATCGTCATGCATCCCTTTCATCCCCTTGATAAACAAGTCAATTCTTATCAAAACGGAAAGTCGGAGTATCCCGAATCGGATTGATAATTTGGATACACTGTGTGTATTTGAATATTAATTGTAATTATTATCCGACGCCGTAACGGCGCCCTCTACTCCTTAACGATGCTCAACGAAATGCATGAATATTTATTTATTTAGAGAATACAAATGTTTATGCCACCAGGCACCAGTCTTGGCAATTAACGTTGCGCTGAAGATCTTTCCCAAGAATCTTTCTTTTTTTTTTTACGGTCAAATGCCGATACCATCGTTATCGCTAATAACGATATTGATGAAATGGATGTACAGATCTTAGGAGAAAAGTATATATTGCGGTAGCCGGTGAGATACGAAAGAAACGAAGAATAAGAAAGGTCATGAGTTATAAGAGAAACTTTTTCTTTTCTTCAGATATAACGTACACGCGCGCGGGCGCACACACATCATACTAATCCGATAATTAATAATAAATTGCCTTAGCTTCGATAACAACGCGAGGACTCAACTTGCTACTGCGTTCTCAGAGTCAACTGTAAATATATTAGAGAAAAGAAAAAAAGAATTTGTTATTCTATTTATTAGTGTATAGAAACGAGTAGTCTTAGTAAGAGAGCCTTTTTGAAACTTAGGGAGGCTTGTCAAGGTGCATTCATAATTTTTCTTTTTTTCTTTGTCATCATGGATACCGATTACAATGGAGATAATGTATTTAAGAGAGTCGCGTTATATTTGATAGCAGAGTGTTTAAACAGTCTTGTTAATATATAATTAGAGATGTCAATGTGTCATATCATTGTTTTTTATCAAAACCGCGCCACTTGACAGGTCAAGGCTTTGACGAATTTTATTAAATTTTTCATTAGAGTTAAGAAAGAGATAAAAATAAAAATGTCACTCCTACTGTTTAATGATACACTTTCAATCGTTCTGTTTCTACTGAGCGACTGGTTTAACGTTGCTCTTTGTTGGATCAGGATAGAATTTGGGATTTAGAACGATTTTGAAAATTGTCCAATTGTCATTTGAGAATTTGGAGTGTCACGCGATGAATGAATTTTCATGGTTTTTTTTGTTTTCTCTTTGGAAGTATGCGATATCGTCTTTATCAGATGTGTACATAACATACGTCCGTACAGTGGTTATTTAAAATAATTACAGTCGGACATATTTTTGTAAAGAACAAAGTACTTTGAGACATCGATTTACAACGTACTTAATTTAGAAGTATCCTCTTTTTAATACAGCAATTTATTTGTATCTTATTACTAATATGGAATTTTATACTATTGACTGTATTGCCAAATAATAATGACTTAAACACGTGTAAATCGCTTCTCTTGTTCCCTCAATACAAAAAACCCTAAAATCCATTTGAACTCCATTATTTAAATTACAGGAATATTTATTTCTTAAAAAATCGAGGAAAATTTTGGATTCATTAAATCAACAAAAATCTAAATAGTCCAATAGGTATTTATAAAAAAAATTTTCTATTTTAATCACATTGCTCGAATACTTATTATTATTTATGACAACATTTTGTTTAAACCTATAAATAATGATCCTGCGACTCAGATATACCGTTACATGTTCCATGGGCTTAAATTTAACAGGAATACTTAGTATCTAAGGGCGCAACCGTAGCCCACTCATTTAAGTCATTGAGTTCAACAGCAAAATCAGGGGTTGCATACAGTTCTTTTGGTGACATTTGTCAATGAGTTTTCATAAGTTCTATGTGAATTGTATATCAATATGATCTTTTTCCAAATTGTTCTAATGTTTGTAGGTCTCTACACACTCATGCCTATATGATCTTGTGATCTGTCTAGCTGTATTGTAAATTTTTCTATCTGATCTAATAGACTTGGTTACTGACACATGTCTTTATATTAGAATAAAGTCGAAAGGAAAAGAACTTCTTAGTATCTATAATGTATGTACAGTCATAAAAATAATTTCAGCATCGCTCAAACCTATACAATAAAATAACATCTTCCTCTCCAGCATCATGAAGCTGAACACGAAGATACAGTGATCCTTCACTGCAGCCCTATTCTCTAACTCGTGGCTATAGTTATTGGTATCATGAGATAACGAATAACTATTTTATCCAAAACCAACATTTTCCCTGTATAAGGTTCAACTGGCGATTGGGTCAAATTTAGTTATTTATTCTAACGACATCGATAACTGCCGTTACAAGTTAGAGAATAGGTCTACAGGTCTGTCGTACAACATTTAGGTCTTATCTGTGAGACTTCTGATTGGCTGAATTTTTCATATATAAACGACTTTCGTAAATCATGGGTTTAGTTGCGTTCAGTTCGTGTGACTAGTCCGTTCAACGTGGGAAGGCACCTATAAGCCTGCCGTGAATCCGATTATAAGGTGAATACAGCATTAAAAAAGCTTTAATCTCTATTTTACAATCACTGCCATAACGAGTGTAAATAATAATTTTTATACAGTATTTTATAAAAAAAAAAAAAAAAAAATGGATTTTCCTATAAGCCTGCCGTGAATCCGATTATAAGGTGAATACAGCATTAAAAAAGCTTTAATCTCTATTTTACAATCACTGCCATAACGAGTGTAAATAATAATTTTTATACAGTATTTTATAAAAAAAAAAAAAAAAATGGATTTTTCATTAATATCTAGAATATCAAGGGCTGACATTGTGTATAAAACATTCCACATGACGCTTTGGATTCTCAAAAGACTTTTTGAAACTTCAGTTACGCTACAACGTGCGTCATAATTTCATCGAAAGACGCATTGGCACGTATGTGTATGAAAACACCACGTGATCTGGCATCTGACAGCAGAGCACACCACATTTGATCCCTCTGTTATGAAGAATGTTTAATTTTTATTAGTACAAATTCAGATTCATATTGTATTTATGTACTTTGACGTTTTACCTGAAACGTGGCAAAGTTACCACATAGTATAAGGCTGTGCTTGGCTCTGGTCATGGCAACGCACAATCTTTGAGCATCTGACATAAATCCAATACCATTGCTTCTTACGCAAGACATAATTATCACGTCACGTTCTTGGCCTTGAAAACTGTCAACAGTATTTATTTCGATATTAACCTTCTTCTTCGTGCTCTCTGGTATCTCAGATATCCTGTAAATATAAATCAATTCTGGTTATGGTACATAATTAATATTATTAAAATATTAATTGACGAAACAGTGCGATACGGTACCTCTCATTTACTTTTGTTTGAATCAGAAACTTCTGGCTGTTGTAAGGTGTGATAATGCCTATCGATATAGGCGACTCCCATTTAATTAACTTTGAATTCGTGAGCATAACAAAAATCATGTTTGAAACAAAGTCAGCTTCTCTTGTATTCGAGAATTTATCATTATTTTGATTAGAATCAAGGTTTAATACTCTGTACGATTGGAAAGGAAAGGCTATTGGTCTGTCAATAGCATTTTTCAAATTTCCTCCATAAAAGAATTTGTTTGGCCAATACGCAATAGGGTAGGCCATTCTGTACTGTGTATCGAGCATAATTACGGGATTGTTAGCTGTATCCTCCAGAGCATTTTGTATTCGCGAGAAGAGAGATTGGTCCAAGCCAAACTTTTTTGCTTGCTACAAACAGAAACTCATTCAAATTATCAGTTTGTAGATCGGTACAATTTCTTAAATAGTTTTTTTAAAAATAATTTACCTGAGATAATACCGTTGCTGGTAATTGATTTGGATCACCCACGAGGACTAGCGTGTTCACTCCTAACATCAATGGTATAAGCGTTTGTGGTTCATTAGATTGGGTAGCTTCATCCACAATACATACAGATATTCTTTCTTTGTTACCACTGTGAAAAATGAGAGATTAATGATATGACATAACAATATGATACTCCTATTATCTGAGAGCTTACCCAAATATCGATTCCATTTGATTTGTGTAACAAGAGGACAAGGTACACGTTATTATGTCGGCTCCAGACAAGATCGTTGTCTCAGCATCCCGTTGTAGCTTTGCTAAAGTTGTACGGTCCATTTCATTCACCTGATTAAGTCAATAAAAAGTGGGTAATTATTACAGCACAAGAACTTTCCATCAGCTTATAACTATCTACTTACAGGCTTTCGGCACTTGAGCATGTCTAATTTTGTTGTAATACCATTAAGCTTCATTTTTAGGTATTTTAGGTGATTCTCATCCTGATTCTGAGAACTCGTCAACTTGCTGCGCAATGCATTTGCCTTTGCTTCCAGACTTCGTTTCTGCAATACTCAGCTATGTTTAATAATAGGAATGCAAATACAACAAATTATGAAATTGTATTACATAAATGTCCTTTATGAATTCTAGAACCTTTGCAAGTACTAGACTGCGGTAAAAAAAAGTATTATTTTAAAAAAATGCAACTATACACGTTGACATGCCAGTGATTAAAATATATAGTGCAAATTAAATTACCTCTTCCTCTACGCTATCCATTGAATATGCGCTTGATGAGTAAGTAGAAGCTATTTTCTTTATGTCTCGCCTAGCAAGTTCCGGTACAGAAATTTCTTTAACAGTTGGATGCATAGTTTCTATACGACCAACTCTCACCATTTTAAAACGATCTTCTATTCAATGAAAGACCAGATTACTTGTTGACATTTGATAAATATCGTGCGCAAAATAAAGAATTTAGTTAAATATTTACTCACGTTTAAATTTAGCTCGAACAGTCAAGAGACGCAGAACAATTTCATCAATGGCGGCATTGGATGGAGCACAGACTAAAATCCTGAGAGGAGCTCTGTTGTTCTTGTATCTATTATCACCATACAGCACTTGGGTTATAATATTTACAATGACCTTTGACTTCCCCGTACCTAGATTAATAGACGTAGTAATAAATAAGCAGTAGAGTTAACAATAGTCATTGATAATTTAGCAATGGTACCTGGGGGTCCTTGGATCAGACATATTTTTGCTTCCTTTTGCACTATTGCATCTGTTACTTTAATCACAGCTTCTAGTTGCTTGTGATTGAGTTTTTCCTAAACATAAAAACACAACGCAGTATTGATGTAATTCTTTTTGAGTGTTACAATTAAATAAAATACTTCAAACTCACTTTAGTAACCAACGGATAGTTCTTCAATTTTGATAGAACTGTTGAATGGCTCATGTCATTTGCCTTTGGCTTTAATATTGCACTGAGTAATGGCGAAGAAGGAAGATACTGTAATGCCTGTATCATTCTTATGTCAGATCTTAAATAAGTGATGCTACGTAACCTTTGAGCACGATTTGCATGAACATTCACTTCCAGTGGTTTTGTCATTACTGTATAAGTGAGAAGAGCATATGGATTCTTCACGTAGTTGACTGAATTAAAAAAAAATCTATCATTACACAAACTACAGTATTATTCCTTGGAGATGAGTTTCATATGTAATTTGTTCTTTACCCAGATCTCGATTGTAATACGTCTGTGGTGTCAAAACAGTTTGATAAACATTTGTTACGTATGCAAAAACTTTATGAAATCTATGCTTTCCCTTATCTGTATAACCTAATTCAAAGAATACTAAATCCCCATAAATAGGGTGCGCTTGTTTATGTATATCCTCTTTCGTAGCAAGTACTTCAAGCATCATATTTGTTAAGGATAATTTTGATGATGGAATTTGGTAACTCGATGCTGAATTGCTTACTATAGAACATATCACTGTTGGACGTCTGAAATGATTAGATAATAATTTTAATTTTACGTTACAAAGATTTTTATAGAAGAGTTCTTTAACATTTGGACATACTTTGGATTTTTATCGATAACTTCAAATTCCTTTGTGATACCATGCCATATTTCTAGTAATAAGAGAGGCATAATGATTCGGTAATATTCATCAAACGATTTGTATGACGTTAATAAAGGAATTAATTCTTTGGTGCCCGTTACTGGTGGATCAATCTTGAAACGCTTTTGTTCCTGTAGAAAATATAAATTGATTGATTAATTAATTACATTTAAGTTATTGTAAAAAAAATGGTACCTCAAGCCACACTGGATTCCACATGAAAATCTGTAGTAAAAATTCCTCCAGTTTTGGACAGGGTTGAGTGGCATTGTTGTTCGTTTTAACGGCTAATTTTTTTTGAGGTATCGGAGCATCTTTTCCTACCACCTTATTCAAAGTATTAAATGACTCAATTTCATAATACTTTACTTGCACTAGTTCTGTACTAAAATGGACGCTCTTCTTATTCTTATTCTTTACAGTTGAACTTTTTGCATTTGGTGAACAATTTTCCTTCTGTATGGTTTCCGAACAGTCTTTAGTTTTTCTATTTCTAGTATCTGCTAGATTTTTCGTTCTATCTGTTATAGATATAGACTTTGTTGAGGTAGTTGCACTTGGAGATGATTCATGAGAGACTTTTTGTTTATGAGCTTTTTTAATATCTGTAGTTGGACACTTGGAAAGAGTCAGTGAGTCACGAAGATTTAATGCTACATTGGCTATGTCACCAGGAACAGATGATCTTGATGGATTATCTGAATCTTTTCGTAGTGATTTTTCAGAGGCTAATTTAGCTGGTAAATTTTTTTCAACATGTGTTTCTTCTACTGTACTACTCGTGCGCTTATCAGTGCTCGTAGATGATTCACTAGCAATATTTGTAGGACAAGAACTCGTTATATCAGTACCCCTGGATTCCCTATCAGCATCTTGTGGTTGTATCAGAAAGTCGCCACGGGTTTTTTGCGATATCTTTGCTTTTGGTTTGTTAATAATATGTCGCTTAGGCTTAGAGTCCTTCGCGTCAGCTTTCTTCTCGTCCGCTAATTTCTTTAGCTTTGCCTTTCTATCATTAATAATTTCTAATTTTTCAGCCTTTGAAAGTGACAGCGATTTTTTGTTATTGCTCACTGGAAGACAATCAGCCCATTTGTATTTATCTCTACGATGTTTCTGTTCCTTCATATAATTTGCCTTTTCAAGTTTCTTCTGAATCAATAATTCCTTCTTTTCCTTGGTCGACAGTTTAACTTGTGATGTTGTCTTAGCGACAGTATTAATTTCTGTTGTATTCAAAGTATTTTCAGCAACTGTTGATGTTGTCGCTGCAACTGTTACACTTGATGAAGTTGTACTTCTCTGTACATTGCAACTAAAACCTTTTCCTTCGCCTTTAGGTAAATTAGGTGGTGCAATGATTTCGGGTGGCTTCTTGTCAAGTGAACTTAATTTTAATGGAGTTGATTTCAATTTCTCCGTGGTACTTAAGTTCGTTTTGGTTCCAATTGTTAGGATATTATCATAACAAAGGTCATCCTGAGGATGAGTATCTTTACATCCTGAACTTTTGTCCTTGTTGGAAGACTGCGGAGATTCACCTGCCCTTACTTCCTTTCTAATCAATTTATCTGATAATCTCTTTTCATGTGTCCTGTGCTTCTTATGATCAAGATTTTTATTCTCGGATGTTTCCGGTGGAACTATATCATCAGGTACAGCAGCATCCACTTCCATAGCGTCTTTCTTTCGGTGTTTCTTTGAATGCGATTTATGCTTAGCTTTATTGATTTTATTTTTCTTATTCTCATCATTATGAGTTTTCTTCTTTGGTTGTCCTTCTTGATCTTTGCTGTCCAATATCTCAGTGATTTGGAGATCACTAAGTCTTTTCTTGGTTTCAGCAGGTTTAAGGGCTGGTTCATCTACTTCGAGAAGTACTTGACTTCTTGAGAGTCTCTGGAGCCAAGGATTATCCTCATCTTCGCTGTCTGATAATAAGATTATAGAATCAGTATCGTAAGGTGTCTGGAATAATTCGTCAACTTCCCCTTTGACCTCTTCTTTAATTGGTAACTGCACATCAGTAGTTGTATCAAACAATTGAGAAGATGGAAATATGTCCTCTTCGTCGTCGGTCAGGTTCACGACGTCAGACATTGAGAATGTTGTAGTTTGTTCATGCTTTAGTTGTCGGACTTTAATAGGTGATGTGACGAAAATCTCTGGACTATTTTTTGAAGGGGATGTGACTGGCGTGTGATAGTCATTATTTAATCGTTGAAATTCTATTTCCATTTTAATAGGCGTGACCTCTATATTCGTGATACCATTAGAGGAAGCTGATGGTTCAGCAATTGTTGATTTTTCGTTGGGCAATATTTCCATTTGATTATCGCGTAATAAATTATTTGATGCAATGGTAGATGAATGAATATTGCTGGCTTTTATAGATTTTCCTAGTGTTGATGAAGAATTTTTAGAAGAACATGGACCATTGTTGTATATGGCTTGTACGTTTGTCGTAGTTGTAACATTATGAGAACTTTTGTTTGTATGCAATTCTTCATCTTCAGTGTCGTCCAACACAATTATATCATTTTCAAAACTGTCATTGTGTTCTGATGCAGTTGTCGATTTTTGCATTGATATACAACCACCATTGGATGAACGTTTATTAATCGTAGAGGAATTCTTTTGTATATTTATGAGATTTGAATTAGTGATATCTTTTACCTTGGTTGGTTCTGTCTCATTTTTGCATAATGTTTTATTACTTATTAATTTTTTTTTATCAATATTAAAGCAATATTTTGTTGGATAGTTATTTTTAGTCAATGGACTATGGATTGTTTGAGGTATTTCCTTGATTTCTGGTGCTGAAAAATTAGATAGATTTTCCAACGATGTATTTACATCTATACAATCCTTCATACCATTTGATAGTTCAGTAGTCATTGAAATATTCTTCTCCTCACACTCCATTAATATAGGAGTTGGCAGGTTTTCTTTTTGATTATCATTGTTCGGTTCATGAATACTGTTCGTAAGAGAATGAATTGATAGATGGACATCAATATTGTTCTCTTCTTTAGTACTTGACAGCAATACTGGAGTGATTGGTCGTATTTCAATTTTTACATCAATTTCTGATTCATCCAATACACGTTGAATAGCGTCACCACATAATTCCGAAGAGTTCATTTTTGCTATTTTACGTGGTAAATATAAACTGCTGTTTTCCAGGAAGGATCTTCGTCTTTGTTTCTTTTCAGAAGCTACATCATCTGAATTTAGTACGCTACTATTATTGGTGTTCAAGACAGTTCTTGTTAGAGTATCTGAACTGTTCTCCATGGATGAGAGTTTGGGCTGTAATAGAAAATCATTGAAAAATATTTTTGAACTGCAGATATTTTTAGATCTATAACAATTCCTTACTCTTGATACACGGAGTACATAGACAAACATCGTTATATCTGTCGGATCAATAGTTGGAGAACCAATACCAATAATATCATCTTCCTTTAACGTCATCATCTGCTTTGCAGGTATTCTCTCCCCATTGACAAAGACACCATTAGAGCTCTAAACATATATACAAATCTTTTAAAGAATGTTCACAAAGAGTTTTTTAAATAAATTTTTTAATGTTTTTACTCACTGATAAATCAACTACATTCAATGTATTTTGATTTCGAATAAACAGACAATGTTCACGGGATACCCAAAGGCTGAGGCAAACAATTTGATTTCGCTTGCCTCTGCCACACGTGTACTAAAAAAAAAGGAAATAATACAATTACAGTTCCAATAATTAACTCATTGTTAATCATTGTTGAAACAGTTGCTTTTCTTTTGGAAACATTCCTTTATCAAATAAAGTAATAGCTTGATGAATTACTTTTTTTTCCATATACAACAAATATATTATCTTATACTATAAACAATAAACTTACAGTTTGCACGTGTTCATCAAGAACAATTGTATCCGACCCATTAACTCTCTCCAATATAAATTCAACACCTGTTTCATGACTCTCCATTGTTTTGAAAATAGTTCATTCCTTCAACAATACCTATTTCTGGAATCACATCCCTTGGTTTTAGTTTTAACCTAAGAAACAAATTTCAAGTACTTCAGAAGCAAAATAGCCGCGGCAACTACTCCATTCAAGATGCAGAAAGCATTTGAGGGAGAAAGTGAAAAAAAAAGTGGCATTTTTTAAAGTAACTTGAAGAACTATAGTCATATTAACTACAGCAGATTAAATCTTTATTATAATATACCAATGACTACTTCAGAAAGCAATACTTCTTTATATCAAGTAAGAAACAACAACTCTGGTTATTAATTATATACTTATTTTATTATTTATGTTCGCACACAGATATAGTTTCAAAAATCGGGTTAAAAGATGCTCTGATGGTAAAGAAGAGCAAAATGCACATTACGCGTATTAGTTACGTTCTATTGAGTTAACACGATTTATATCCAATATGATTATAAATGAAATGATAAATGAATGTTGTGTAGTGGAAATATCTGCAGAGATGAACAGGGACATGCACAACGCTACGGTTATAAGCGATACCAAAAGCACGGCGCTGAATCGTAACGGCGAGTCTGGAAGTAGGATCTTGTGATCATCGCCTCCGTCGACAAAGCATATCCCGTCGTAGCCGAGCTAAACGTGAACACGAAAGTATAGCTTGGTGGGCAGAGGTTCTCCGCTACTCGCCGCTGGTTCCCAAAGCAACACTTAGAACGAGACCAGGAACTATAGAACATCTCAAGAACTATTGAAAAAGCCTATTATTCTTGAAACATTTTAAAGACATTTTTAAGAAAGTGCGGTGCCAACTTGACACCCGTGTAGCGCCTCAATTTTTACTAAATATTATTGGATCTTGATTTACATTTAAAGTTTACTCAAAATATAAATTTGAGGCTAAATAAAAATCTCGCAAAATATACAGAGTAGATGAAAGGTGAATTGAAATTGTATAATATCGAAAATAAATTACGTTCAAATTGAAATATTAATAAATGGAGACCCATAAGGTCCTGTTGCGGCCACAACTTGGGCCACCAACCACTGAGCAAGCTCAGCGGATGAGGCGGAAGGGCAACCCCCGACACCATGGTCTTAAGTCTAGCTGCACTAACCGGATGACTACTCTTATATGACTACTTGAATTAATATGCTCGACCCGACCAAAGGAATAGAACAGGCAAGACAAGCACAATGGAAAGTGAGAGGGAACAGAGTGAAACGAGAAATCAGAAATGAAGGTAGAAATAAAGAAGTCAAAAAGTAGAAAAGTAAGGAATAGAGTTATAAAAGTAGAGAAGAAATGAGGAAAGAGATAAGTGAGAAAGTAAAGAATGAAGGATAAAGAAATAAATATAGAAAAAGAAGAAGGTTGACAATGGATAAGAGAGGTATTTCCGAAAGACCAGTATAGGAGACCGGCTCGAGGAAGAATGAGCTCTCCGAGTCCGGACACTGCTTCGAGCGCTCCCCCCACTCTCCGCCTGCTCACATCCGCCGAATCCTGCTCGACGAATTTGCGCGCACACAATTTTAGGCATCTTCCAGTAATTTCTAAATATGCTTGGCCAGAATTTCCTATTTCTAAGTGTTAATATTTTACTTTATTGATTTAATGAATTGTTTTAATGTTCCAAACACGTCATTTATTAATATTTCAATTTGAACGTAATTTATTTTCGATATTATACAATTTCAATTCACCTTTCATCTACTCTGTATATTTTGCGAGATTTTTATTTAGCCTCAAATTTATATTTTGAGTAAACTTTAAATGTAAATCAAGATCCAATAATATTTAGTAAAAATTGAGGCGCTACACGGGTGTCAAGTTGGCACCGCACTTTTTTAAAAATGTCTTTAAAATGTTTCAAGAATAATAGGCTTTTTCAATAGTTCTTGAGATGTTCTATAGTTCCTGGTCTCGTTCTAAGTGTTGCTTTGGGAACCAGCGGCGAGTAGCGGAGAACCTCTGCCCACCAAGCTATACTTTCGTGTTCACGTTTAGCTCGGCTACGACGGGATATGCTTTGTCGACGGAGGCGATGATCACAAGATCCTACTTCCAGACTCGCCGTTACGATTCAGCGCCGTGCTTTTGGTATCGCCTAAAACCGGAGCGTTGTGCATTTCCCAACTCATCTCTGTGTCTGATATCTATACGGTGCAGTACCCAGTACGGTGTCGTGACACGAATGGAGTTTGTCCGTTGTGTGAGGTTGTGTGTCATTTCTATTTTATTGTAGAAGATAAGGCGATAAGACCTTTAACAGGTATGTAATCGTGAATTAAGATTCGCTGCTAGTTTGGTGTCACGATAAGCACTTTCATTAAGGATGAGAAGGAGAATTCGAGCTTTGATAATTTTGTTTACGGTTCTGCTACGGGATAATGCCACTCCCTGTCCCTTCCCTCGCTGTAATTGTCATTGGAGTACTATGAGTAATAAGAATGTAATTCGTCTGTGAGATCAACTAAAGAATCATTTGATATTGCAAGATGTATATTGGATATTTTTTAGATTTGTTAATTTTATTGTAAATGGAAAACGAACAATTATTTTATTAGTGGCTAGTAGTGATCATGATGCATTTACATCGTGTGTATAAAATTTTATTTTGAATTTTGTAGTTAATTATTAGAAAGTTCTTTAGCGAAGAATGTAAGTGGATTTAAAATATTTTGTCTTTCTTAAAGCATTGCGAAGACCACCATGGCTCGGTTGCCAAGGCTGTTGGGCTACCTGCTGGCATTAATATCAATCAGCTATGCCCAGAATGTTTACTATGGAGAAATGAAATATCAGTGTCCACAGTATTGGATAAGATTTCAAGAGTCCTGCTATCGGTTTATTAAAAGTCCAATAAGGGAGAGAGATGATGCTCGTAGAAACTGTCAAGCCTATCAGAGTGATTTAGTGTCTATTAACTCTCCTGAGGAACATGGTTTTTTACTCTACCAATTACTTTGGCAAGATCCTCAGCATCGTAAATGGTATACCAGTGCAAGATCTCAGAGTGGTTATTGGTCTAATGAAGCAGATGGTTCTCAACTTAACAATATGGAGAATGCATTCTTACCAGAACCTAATGATGGTGTTCTTGGAAGAGATTACTTAGCTTACTCATTCAGTAACAGTCTGAAACGTTGGGGTTTGGAGAGAGTTACAGGCAACGAAAAGCTTCTTTATATTTGTGAAGCGCCAATTACCATTTTACATAATCTGGCTGAAGATGACCGTACTTACCAATATGGTATTGAAATTGATAATCCTCTACGTATACCCAGAGGTCCGTATTTCATAAATCAGCCCAAAAGCAAAGTTTTTGATGTATCCAAGCGAAGAATCAATAATGACGTGGCTCTGAGTTGTCTTGCCGGTGGATATCCAACGCCAACTTATGAGTGGTTTAAAGAAAACTATGTAAAAGATAGATTAGTAGCAGTTAGAATTGATCCATTATCAGACAGTAGATATACTTTAAGTGGTGGCACCTTAATTATCCACAAACCAGAGCAGGTAAAGTTAAAAATCCTTTAAAATTTTATTACCAACCAGAGTTTTCCATTCACACAATAACTTTTTTCTTACTCCAGGGCTCAGATCATGGTTCATATCATTGCAAAGCAAGCAATGAATTCGGTACAATTATATCTGAAAGTGTAGAGCTTTCATTTGGCTATATTATGGAATTTAATTTGAAACGTTCTGCTGAGAGTGGTGATCAAAATTGGGGTAAAGCCGTCTACTGCGATCCACCAAAACATTTTCCTGGAGTAAAATATTATTGGACCCGTGATTACTTCCCTAATTTCGTCGAGGAGGACAAACGTGTGTTTGTATCCTATGACGGTGCGCTATACTTTTCTGCATTGGAAACAATTGACAGAGGAAATTACTCTTGCAATGTACAGAACGTAGCGTCGGATACTGGTCGCAATGGACCATTCTTCTCACTTCATGTAAATGCTCACTGTGAGTAAATTTCATATTAACACCATAGTTATTTAAATATAAAAATATACTACATGATTTTTCTTATCAAAATACAGCATCCTTCCAGCAGCTGAAGTTTCCTAATAACTTTCCAAAAGCATTTCCGGATGCTCCTGTCGCTGGAGAAGAAGTAAGACTGGAATGTATAGCTTTTGGATAGTAAGTGCATTTTTTTTTATTTAGTTACAACTCTGTACTCAGATTTTTAAACTATAGATATTAAATACTTTTTTCACAGTCCTGTACCTTCATACAATTGGACAAGAAAAGGAGCTGCTCTGCCACGGAGTGCCATAACAATGAATTATAACAGAGTACTTATAATTCCACGTGTACAAGTTGAGGATCAGGGAGAATATGTCTGCAGAGTAAATAACGACAGAGTCTCCATTGAAAATTCTGTGGGCTTAACTATACAAGCTGCGCCGAATTTCACTATTCCACTTATCGACAAACACATGGACAATAAAGGAGAGTTAACGTGGACCTGTGAGGCTTTTGGTATTCCCGACGTCTCTTATAGTTGGTTCAGAAATGGCGAAGTGTTAGACATGTTCACGCTTCCGCCGGAAGATAGAGATCGCTATTTTATTCAAGACAACGTATTGACAATAAGAAATCTAGATCCTGAAAGAGATCAGGCTATGTATCAGTGTCGTGCTAGCAATCAATTAAAGGCTAAATATTCTTCAGGGCAATTGCGAGTTTTGTGTAAGTTTGCAGTGCCGAAGCTTATATGCAAAAATTGTTTCGTTAACAAAAAATTATCGTTTTTCTCAATGTTTCACAGCGTTAAAACCGTCATTCAAAAAGCGACCAATGGAATCTGAAACGTATGCAGCCGAGGGTGGAAATGTAACAATAGCCTGTAACCCTGAAGCAGCACCAAAACCAAAGTTCGTATGGAAAAAAGACGGAAATGTAATTGGTGATGGAGGAAGAAGAAAAATTCTAGATACAGGAAGTTTGATAATTAGCCCAGTATCACGAGATGACGAAGGAACGTATGTGTGCACAGCATCAAATCAATACGGGAACGACGAGACTCGTGGCCGATTAATAGTGTTACGTGAGTAAAATAAAAATGATTGATTCCTCGTATCAGAGTTTCAAGATCCAAACAACCAATTAATAAATTTTCTTATACAGGTGGGCCAAGATTTATACAGACCTTACGTCCAAATGTCGTCACAGCTATAATGTACAATCAGACATTGCGATGCCAGGCAGAATCCGATGAGATGTTAGACGTAGCCTATATCTGGACTCATAATGGTATGCGCATTCGCGACAGGGATCTGCGAAATAACCCGCGAATAAAAATCGATGCCGGAGTATTAGACATTATAAACGCAACCTTCGCCGAAGCTGGGGAATACGAGTGTATTATAAAAAGTGCAGTTGGTAGAATATCAAGTAGGACCTTCGTCACCGTGGAAGGTCCTCCTGGACCACCTGGTGGTGTCCAGGTTGTAAATGTTGTTAAAACCTCAGCTACATTACGATGGACTGATGGTTATCATAATGGCAGACCTATAACAATGTACAATATCGGTGCAAGAACAAATTGGAATCATACTTGGTTTAATATAACAGAAAGTAAGTATCTTTTAACAATAAAATCATTCATTTTGTTATACGAATGTTTTTGTTCTCATTTCAGACATTACAGCAATCCCGATAGACAGGTACAATGGCCGAAAAGAAGCGACCATTGAAAACGTCTTGAATCCTTATACAACATATGAATTTCGAGTATCCGCCTTCAATGAATTAGGTTTTGGTTCACCATCACTACCGTCACCTCAGTACAGTACACCTTCTGATAAACCAAGTAAAGCCCCATCGAATATCGGTGGTGGTGGTGGCAAGAGCGGTGACCTTACAGTCGTTTGGGATCCTCTGAAGCCATCCGAACAAAATGGTCCTGGAATTTATTACAAAGTCTTCTGGCGCAGAAAGCGACACGAAACGGAATTCCAATCAGCGGAACTTAAGGAATATGGCAACGTGGGCAAATATGTAGTACAAATACAAGATCGATATTATTACACAGAATACGAGGTCCGAGTTCAGGCTGTGAACGATATTGGTTATGGACCCATTTCTGACACGGTCACCATCTTCAGCGCTGAAAATAAGCCGCAAGTGATTCCACGAAGAGTATACGTTGATAGCTTCAACAGTACAAGCTTGAACGTCAGTTGGACTCCAGTTTCGGAGAGCCGGGAAACGGTTCGCGGCAAACTTATTGGATACAGAATTAAATACTGGAAGGAAAGTAATAATGAGACAAGTGCAGTATATTATTTGTCTCGTACCACAAGACCTTGGTCTCTTGTGGTCGGTCTTCATCCAGATACTTATTATCGCGTTAAGGTAATGGCGTATAATTCAGCTGGTGAAGGACCTGAGAGCGACCATGTCCGGCAGAGGACGTATCGCAAAGCTCCTCAGAAACCGCCATTGTCTGTCAATGTCTATGGAATCAATCCTTCCACTGTGCGTGTCATTTGGCGCTATGTTCAGCCTAGTCTGGAAGAAGAACCACTCCTTGGATATAAAATACGTGTCTGGGAAGTGGATCAGGATATGAGTACTGCTAATGACACTATCATACCTGGTGGTTCTAAACTCCAAGCGGATATAACGAATCTTAGTCCTGGCAAGGCTTATCACTTGCGAGTACTTGCTTTCAGCAATGGCGGTGATGGACGTATGTCTAGTCCTGCTCATACTTTCCAAATGGGTGACATTGACGCGTATCGTAGCAGCTCCAGTAAGAAGATATTAGACGCTGGCTTAGGTATATCTTTAATAATATTGTTACGGCTTCTTTCTTACTCGTAAACTGACGAAATCATCACTGCAGAACATAGACAGTTAGTCACATCGTGGTTACACATTGTCATTTCTTCTACATACTTCTTCGAAGTGCATTACGTAGAGCGAGAAGATATTTACAAATTTTTTAACTAAATTTTATGCTGCCAATTTTAGAAATCATGTCACTTTTTTCACTTTGCTTTGAATCCAGGTCAGTGTGACTACATAGTTAAGGATAAGCCTAAGTGTTCTTACCTTACCGATATCAATAATTGTAGATACAACAAATAACAATAATCTGGTTCATTCGAAAGGAAATATTATTAAGAGACAAGTAGAATTTTATCTAGTAATATATGTATTTTCTACACACACCTTATATATTAATGTATATTTAACAGAGTGATCGAACGCGAAATAACTTAAAATACGTCAATTACATATTGCAACATTCCAAAACAACAAGCATGTCGTCTGACAAATCCTAATTCTAATGCAATATTCTCGCACGTCAGTATGGTAGGTGTGTCGATTAATTTTTTGATTATTATAGATTTATCATATGCAAGAATGCCAAACGTATATCTAATAATACATAAATTTTAAGTACAATATCTTTTACCTTCATACGTTCTGACATACATATATATATGTATAAAGTTTTCTGCACCATTGCCTGTGCTTTTCATATCCTTTTTATTGATCAACAATATTTGCAACTATGGACAATAGATATATGCATTGTATGATAATGTGAATAGAAAAAATACGTATAGCGCAGTTGTATTTTTCATCTAAAAGACCAGGGACTGTGAAATGCCTGAAAATATTAGGAATGTGTAAACATATATAAAGCGAATATTCGTGTTGATCTTGACATTGCGAATTAATAATTTAAAAAAATGACAGTGAGCACTCACTAAGGTATTTTAATCAACAATTTTATTTCTCGGGCTGTATTTTTCGCGTGAGCCAGATAAATTTTTATTTTGACATTCTCTTTGCTCTATATTAATGATAGTAAGCGAATTCATAGATGATGATTTAATTATGTTTACCTAGTTACTTAGTTCTGTGTACTTTCGAATGTAAGTCATATTATTTTTAATTCTCTTAATGCTACTATCACTCGATGACTCCATGTTGTGTAGCATAAATTTCCGTCCATTTGTGCCTGGGTAAATGAGTGGTTGCGATTGGTATAATGTTAACGAGATTATTATTTTTTTATTTCTCTCACAATGCATTCTCGACAGGAATTATATATACATCTGTTGTAAATCATTTTTTTTAATTTGAAAGAATCTCATATTTAGAAATAAACGTTGTGAACATTCATTTATCATATCGCACCATTACCCTGGTATCGTACACTTAGCTCGATATAAAAGAATTTGCGTTATACAATATAACAAATTTATATATTTTAAGTATTTTTTTTACAAATTCCAACTTTTCTCTTTTATCAATATAAGGAGATCGATTTTTATTGCTTATATTCTTGTAACTGAAATCAAATACAAAAATAAAATATACAATAAATTTTCTACGACAATCTAAACGCATTTATTTGCTTCTCCCTGTTGAAGTTACGTATAAAAGGATTCATTAAGAGCTATAATTATCTTGTCAATAATTACTGTTTATTTGATAACGCTAACAGATACATATGTAGGTGTGTTCTATGGATAAACAATAGCACATTGAAATACATGGAGATAAAATACAAAATGTAACAAATAAAGAAGATACAAATATTTAAATGCCTAAATAAATATATTTATAATAAATTTAAATTGTAACTGTTATAATGTATGTATATATTTATATATTAACATAAATATGCAATAGATATGTTTAACGATAATTAATAACAATGCGTATAAATAATCTGTCGTGTGACTGAAATCGACACAACAAAAATATATAATGAAGAACGAAAATGCATGACATTAACTAGAACGGTTACACCTTCGTTATGACATTTATATTACATTAATAATTAGGGTTCCCTCAAATTTGTATACCTATGGAAACACATTGCAGTCCCCCTCCAGAGCCGCAGTGTTTTTTTTCTCGATAAGATACATTCGATTAACATTACCAATCTCTGACGAATACGTTATTATAATGCGCACGCGCGACAGTCTACTATACTTATCGTTAATCTAATCCGAACTAATTAAAAGATTAACCACGATTAACGGATCACTAATTAAAATACAGACTAAAACAATTCCTTCGATCTCGCTAATTATACTTGCGGCTAATCACTGAACACCTTGACACCTAGTGTATTCTATACTAGTCTTTACTAAGGCTAGTAAGTATTCGCATAAAGTCGGGTCGCTTGGCTATTGATAACGCGGAAAAAGAATAATGATTAATTTATTACTCTCATTAATATAGTAACTGACGAGAATTTATTCATTTTTTGGATACCGTTAAATTTCAGCTTTATGGAATTATTAACGATACTACAGTACTGTTAATTTCTTGTAGCGATATATCTAATATTATAAATCTTAATTGACGACCCGGCCAGGTGCGCTACGTCGAGATCTCGCCAATGAATCATAGAAGAATTCTGGAGGAATTCTGTTAGCAATGCGTAGCGAGAAGAACGACAAAGCGGTACCAGTGTGATAATATTTTTAAAAAATCATAATGTGAGCGATAATTTGTTCTTTTAATGGTGACGGTTAGAGGGATACTAATTCGACTGCCGGTTGTCCCATTTTTGCCCGCAAACTTGCCACGTCGTCGTCTATTCGAATCAAGAGCTTGTATTTCTGGAATAAAAGACAGCAATTTGTTGACATGAAAGATCGATGAAAATATTATTAAATTTTTCTAAAACTTATTTACCGTGGCTCTGTCTCCTGGTGTAGTGATCCAAGCATATAACATGTACCCTGGTATACAGAGCATAGAAGATAATGCTGTGAACCAACCTAATACATGAGACCACCATGGGTATTCATAATCCAGGTACTTTACTGGCGTCCATTGAACCAGATTAAAAATGAATACACCCTGTATTGAAAAATGTGATGTATTAAAAAAGGTTTGATATATTACTTATTATAAATTAATTGACTTACGATGCAGATCATGGGTGTTGTTACTGTCCAACAAAATTTCCACCACATCAGTGGATAATATCCGATCATATCGCGAAGAGCATCGTAAAATCGATTGACGCCAAAGGCCCAGCTTATGGAGACGCACTCGAAGAAGATGAGGAAGAGAAGACAAAAACCGGATACTGCGTACGAGTCGAGAATCTGAAAGACGTACATCCCACCCTGGGAGATGCAGGACAATCCAATTAGGTAAGACAAGGCGCAGACTATGGCGATGAAGACTTCCTTGCGACGACGCAGCAGATGAGGCCATTCGTCAACCTGGTTGTTCATTAATTTTAGTTAGACGATTAATTATATTCAGGGTTATTTTAGAGCTTGTTATTCTTCAGATATATCACCATGGCTGTTATGAATCCTTCCATTGTGCAAAATTGCGAATCCAAACCAATCAACAGTAACATGAAGAAGAATAGACATGACCATAATGGCGCGCCTGGGAGCTGCAACACTGCTGACGGGTACGCGAGGAAAGCCAATCCTGGACCAGACGCCGCGACCTCCGCCACCGGCTTCTGTTGTTCGTGAGCCATGAAACCCACCACTGAGAATATCACGAATCCTGCGAACATACTCGTGGATGAATTCACGGAGCAAACAATTAATGCATCTTTGTAGACGTTGTTTGTGAACTTGTTGTAACTTCCAAGTGCCACAAGAGTACCCAGACCTAAACCGTATGAGAAGAAAATCTGTGTAACAGCATCTATCCAGACCTGAGGAAAAAATATATATAATTACTGTAAAATATTAAAATTTAACAATTTTCAAATGCCTCTGTTACCAACCTCCGATTCACGAAGTTTCGATAAATTTGGACTTATGTAGAATCGAATTCCTTCCATGGCGCCAGGAAGTGTGATACCACGGATCAACAAGATTGTTAAGAGAACGTATGGGAATAAGGATGTGAAATATACAACTTTGCCAGTCCATTTGACGCCCTTCCAGATACAAAAGTAACAAAGTATCCATACTAGAAGTAAAGTACCAGCCAATTCCCATCTGATACTACCGACGTGTTCAACGCCAGGACTAATTTGCAGAGCCCTTCGTCTGTAGAACGGTTAGAAAACATTATTAAAAAATCAAATTCATTAAAATTATATATCAAAATACACATACTCCCAAAATTCCTTGACCGGATCCGTGATATCAGACGCTGAGACGTTCAAATGATTCAACGAACATATCTTAACAAGGTTATGTCCCTTGGTTTGCTGCTCCCAACAATTTAACGAGCTCCTGTCATAAGGATTTACGCAGTTCCCAGTATTCCAGTAATTGTTACAAGTCCTCCAGGGTACGTCTAAATTTATACACAACCTTAAATATCGGCTTTGCGCAGAGTATTAACTTTTAAGATACAGACCACTGCGCATTGACATGAAGAAGTAGAATATAGCCCATGCCAGAATGACAATATAATAAACATTCATCCAGCAGGACATGACAGCAGCTGCGTAACCGATGCCTTTGAAGAGAGGTGCTATTTTGAAGACTCCAAGTCCTCCGATTGTTAACATTTGACCAAGTGCCAATTCCATGAAGAACATAGGTATCCCAGCGAGAATGAGGGTTAGGAAGTACGGAATGAGAAATGCCCCGCCACCATTTTTATAACAGAGATAAGGAAACCGCCAGACGTTACCAAGTCCAATGGCAAGACCCACCTAGAATATTTATCACATCTCTAATTTATATTGATCTATTAGAGGACAGTAAAGATCTGGTTTTTTTTTTACCACACTGAGGATGAAGTCTAGCTTGGTACTCCATGTGCCGCGTTCAGGAAGTGGCTTGACTTTCGGCGTAGAGGAGCACGCCAGATTGAGGGACGCCCTGGCGTCGTCAGTGTTTTCGGAATCCGCCAGTTCCGGGTCCCTCAGTGTCTCTGTCATCTTAAGAAATGCTCAACCGATCTTTTACGTCGCCGATTGAAATTTTTCTTTTAATTCCTGACGTTCTCTGATATCCTGCAGGATGCCTCTCAGCCAGCAAGGTATCGTAGATGCATAACAGTGCGCCTGAGATCACAATAGTTTTATGCATAATAATAACTTTTTTCCAGTAGTCGCAGTTCCGAAAGATTTATCTCGAAATAGTCAAAGTCACTGAGTAATTATCGCCATCGTCGAACGGAAGTGCCTTCAAGAACCGGACGCCAGGAAGCGATCTTTCTCGCAAAGAGAAAATCTCCGGAAACCGTTTAGTCGATCCAGTGTCAAATTGTGCTCGAAATATGTAGGAAGATAGGGCTGACAGTGAGTACCGATCTTCTCCATACCGAAGTCTTAAACTGACTGACCCCTATTACGTTCTCTTCCGTACTTTCATTGAATAATAGCTCAGGCACCACTTTGTATCTTAATCTTTGCATGCAACTATTAACTCGGGTCCTTATAATGCCGTTCGAATAGTCAAATCATTCGTTCATTTTGTGCGATGAACTGTGTGAAATTCTAATGAAAATTTACAGCTAAAATTGAACAATTTTTAGGATTCCGTAAAGGAATGAAAATTTTCATAGAGTCAGTAGCTAAGAAGGGGTCCAACACCAGGAGCGTTAAATATGCATGTCCGGCAGGGGTCCATGTAATAAATATCAGTACCCTCCCCCTCCTTGCTCTTTTACCGCCCTTTGCCCTTCTCTCTCCTCTTCCATGGTACTGTCCCTCCCCCGCACCCGTTCGTCTATTGGCTCCCTCTTCCTCTTCCACGCTCATAAAAAACAGCTATATTCTAATTAGCCGATTATGTACTCACGCGTGTGTACAACAGTCTGATTTGACTCATATATTTTTGCCTGATACAGCTTTCGATTTCGTTTTCAATTCCGTTTTAGATTCATTCCCGGATATTTCCTCAAGTAGAGGACTTCCGGTACCAGGAAGATATTGCATAGCGACAACGATAGCGCCACGACTTAATAATTTCGTTAAAATTTATCGTTTTATAGACTCGAGGAATCCTTGACTTTTTAAAAAATTTTGATTAATTTTTTTAATTAACTAAACATACTCTATACCATATACAAACCTTTCTGGCTGATTCTCTTGGGATCCGTACAAATAATTCCACACAATCACTGAGTAAAGAGATAAGGCAGCTCCTTCAGTGTCCACCAGTCTGTACACCTGGTGCACGCGTCTTTTGAATATTCCCGAGAATTGATCGAGTACGAGGGATACCGGGAGTACAGGTAGAACCAGAATGTAAAAGCCGGAAGTACGATCGTTACCGGGACAGCACGCACTATAGTTCTTCAGCGAGGTCTAAGGTGGTTGGTATTGCTAATTTCAAAGTGAAATCCCAATGAACGTTCGCGGATTGTTTTACAAGTATTTTTTTCCGCTTTATCGTATCGGCTGGGTTTGCTTTCTCTTAAGAGTCCAGATGTAAAATGGAAAAATGGATGATGAATCGGAGGAAAAAACGTGCGAGCTGTCGTGCAGCCCGCGAGGAACTGAGATCGGCACTCTGGGACATCCCATCCTGGACCTTCTGATGATCTGTATAGAGGATACCCCCTTTTCTCCCGGCCTCTGACAACCATCGCCAATTGCACCCTTGCTACTACGTCCATGCATAATGCGGCATAGCGGCACACGAGCATGACGAAGATGATGCTATGACACTGGTGGGGAAGAGAGCCCCCCCCAAGATCACAACAGTATATCATCATCAAGTTGACATCACTGCGAAGCCCTGCACCTAGTCATTCCCAATGGCGACAACTCCGTAGCCCGCACTCTCTTATTCGCAATCCGCTCTCGCTACGCTATTTATAACGGTAGACGCGTTTCCGCAGTTTCCTCATCCTGGGGTGTGGTGTCGATTGGTCCATCAGAGTAGCTCTTTGCTTTAGGAAGACGCTAGGAGGGTCAGAGAACTATAAGAATTAGTTTTCAAAGGCTGGGCTTCTGTGGCCGTGGAAATTATTGAGTTTACAAGTGAATCTTTATATAATCATTTTACTTGAAATGAGATCAATTTAAAATGTTCTTATATAGAATTATTACAATTCATCTTACAATTTGCTCTAGTCAGTTTTATGAATCTTTTGGGGCACAGTCTCATTGTGTCTTTTTTTTTATTCTGCTGTAATTTGTCGTTATCTTCTTCTCAGCGGATTCTGAGATTTTTATGAAACGAGATGGCAATAAAGTAGGTGAGCAAGACTAGGAAGCTGATATATCCGGAGGGTTCACGTGACACCGATCTGACCCCGCATCCGTTCTGGGTACACTCTATCGTATAGAATACAAGGGGCTGGGGCAAGCGGTCGTAAGCGGGACTCGTGTAGGTAAAATCTATGATAATATCAAGTGATACCATTTTTATCATTAGTTCAAATATGAGTCAAGGAAGAAAAATATTTTCAATAATAACATATAAGACTGCTTTTTTAATTAGTGACATTCACTTTGATTCTTACATTAAATTTCTACAAAAACATATACAATTACTCTTTGGTTCTCTAGACGGATCTGTAAGCTCCGGGTACGAAGTTTAATTGCATTTTGATTTAATTTCCTAATCCATCTCTTATCTTTATTGACGAGCAAAAGAATCGGTGCCAATGTGGCTTTTCTCTGTCACCGTTCGTGCTTGACGAGTACTCGCATGGAAACGATAGCTACGGAGAGGGGAACATCCCAAATGACAAGAGGATGTACGGGAAGTGGCGCGGGAACCCTGATAAACCATCACCTTGCAATTAGAAATCTGTCGGGAAGATTTAACCGCGATCTCCAAATTGGAGAGATGATTATGTTGAAACAAAGCGTACAATACTAATTACATGAAGATTATAATACGTAGATTTTATATTTACAAACATAACAGATGAAGCAAAAATATTTTTATATACCTATAATAATGTAAAATTTATGCAGTTTATCTAATGGGTATTCCATTATGTACTCATAGCTTGATCATTTCATTTCAAACCTTATCTTTTTTATTTATCAATACTTATTGTTAAATTTAAATGTCGATATCGAGTATCACACGCGAGTTCCGCTTGTAATAAAATGTCGTTTAGATATGATAGAGTATAGTAGCCGGTGATTGTTTACAGTTCATGTATGAAGTTATATTGTTAAATATTGAATCTCTTATTTTGTGGTTCAGTATTAATTTATTAATCTGAAGAAACATCACCATTGTGAAGCTTGTGACGTTTGGTCAGGTGTTTTGCTGAAATTATGAATGAATTAGTCTGACTAGAGGTTATGTGCACTGTCAGCTATAGGAAACGCCCAAAGTGTCAAAATATATTTAATCCTGTAGAGGATTATCGCTGCAGTAATGAGAGGTGGTGGTATGTTCGATGCCCATGAGTTTGGCAAACGGATACGAAGGTTTCTAGATGGCAATTATTCATACCGTAAGCTCCTTCTGATCATTGTCATATGTGGAGGTGCCCTACTCTATCTCGGTCCATCCTTTGCTCAGTGGCTCTTCTCCAGCAGTAGAGAACCCATTGAAGGTAAGCCAATCAGATTATAAACGTTTCATACAATCTTTTGTCCCAGGATATTTTGCATAACATGTGCAGCTATGATATTCGGTGCTTTCTGAAATCTTATATTTGTACGACCTATCTTATTTCTCTTGTCCCTTTAGTTTTTGAAGATCATTGTATTAACGAAAGGCTTGCAAGTTTTTACTTTGATGCTGCGGAATATAATGCAAATATCTTGCACAATCCTCCGTTAGAAGAAGAGCATCATTACTTACCATATATTGGTAATGGGGTATATGGAGTACCTATATCCTCAGAAGGCTGGTTGTACATTAAGCATGGACGCACTTTATCTTTGGCTTTGCACTGGGAACCACTAATTTCTCATGTTATATCTAAAGGGACTTCTTATCGTGAAGCTACTGTGACTCATTTTACAACAGGAATAGTATATAAGTATCAGTGCCTTAGAGATGGATACTATGTAGACTTTCAATATTATGCTCATAGATCCTTTGATGGAATATTAGTACAGGATATTAAAGTAGCCAATCCATCTGCTTTATCTAAGGAAGTGCCCTTGACAGCTCAAACCTCTATGCACTGGAAAGACTCTCATACTGAATCCATTGAGTAAGTAATTTAGACGAAAATGTACCATCTTTATATCACAGAAAATGTCAGCATTACCTCTTTACAGTATTCAGGTAGATGGTATACGTCAGGAATACAGTCTTACGTCAGGCTACGTATCCCTGCCTGAGTCAGACAAAGTCATAGTCGTTTCAATAGTATACAAAGTACCACCAAAGTCAGTACAAGTAAAATCAAGAAGTTCGACAAAGCTTCAATTTCTAACAAGTATCAAATACAGTAACCCAGTCTCAAATGAACACTACCAGGTTGAACGAGAGTCAACTAAGAAGCAAGCTATTGATGTAAGTCAAGAAGTGACAATCAGGCTGCATCACAGATTTTATTTTTACGTACTGCATTCTTATTTTATTTAGATGATGAAGAAGGCATTGATACGTCAGCAACGGGGTTTGAGGGATGAACACGTCAATACGTGGCAGCATTACTGGCGTACAGGTCTTAGAATCAGTGATTCTAAGGCAAAGGATGCGATTAACGGACACAAGATAAATTCCACAATGTACTATGTATTGTCTCAAGTACCTCGTGGTACTCCAGCCGTGGAGAAAATCGTCGCTAACAATGAGGGTTGTTATCGAGGTCATCACACCTTGTATGTTTTATTAACGAATTACACAATTATTAGTGCATGCACGTAATAAAAATAATAGAACATAGTCTTAGAATCTAATACAGATATTAGTCTTCCTCATTAGAGACGCTCCACGTTTATGGAAAGATACATCATCCATTAGCAATGTCAATGAGATAGTACTAGCATGGCTGATAACACTGGAGAAACAGGGTTGTCATCATTTGATAACCGGTGGTCCATCCGCAGTACAGCAAGCCATTGTTCTGAGTCTTGGTGGTTTGCGATTTAGCAATCAACACCTGGAATTTAATATCGATCCTCAATATTTACACCGCGATTATTTATTCAGGTGAGATAATCATTCTCGTGGGAATTGGAATCTGAATTTTTAGAAATTATTGCTTTCTGACATATATTAATTAATTGCAGACGAATAAGCTATGGCAACGTAACTCATGTTAATATATCCGTTGTGGTTGGCGATGATAATCGTGCTGTTCTTGGAGTTGCTCTGGATCGTAGCGACAGCATCTACTTTGGTTGTGATGCTGGCTGTTTAGATGCTCCAGTACCTTTAACTCAGTCTTATACCAATTTTCCCGTGAAACTTACCACTCCGCTCACTGCAATACTTTATATTACATCTGATCATCAGCACATGCAAGATCTTCGAAATGCATTACATGTGCATGCAGTTGACGAAGGTGAATTTTATTCAATGGATTATAAATATCGCTTTTAATTATATTGCAAGGTCTGTGAGACAATATTATATATTGTTTTAGCTCCTGCTCACGATCATCATGTTATAGCTTTGCACAAACATGGTCATCAGCTTGGCGGTCTGCCAACCTTCTTCTGGGTCAGCATATGTTTCCTAATTATAGTCTTTCACTTATTCCTTTGTAAATTGGTTTTATCTGAATATAGCGATCATCAGGATCGTCACCGTCTACGATATAGTAAACCATGATTATTGTATATAATCACCTTGTTATTGGAATAAATATATTTTTATAAAAGGAACGAGTGTTTTATACTTCATTCATTTCATACAATGTATTTCTAATATTGTGTAATTACACGAGTTTTTGGGTCTAGAAGGAAATAACGATGACCAGGAAAAGGATTGCTATGAAAAGATTCAAAATTTTCTTGACAACATTTATTATAGAATATATTAAACATGTAATAAATATAATATGGTATAATTCAAAACATTTGACTATAGGATAATGCCGATCGACAATTGCGTTAAAATCTAATGCAACTAATTGTCTATCACCAGTATGACTTCAAAGAAATTAATTCAATGGAATGTCTCGATAAATAATTATGAATGATGAATTCAGTTTTGAAATATTTGTAGCTAGACTTATTTTTTTTCTTCATATTTTTATTCAATGTAAGATCAGTATCTCAATGTCTTGAGCCATAACGTGCTTATCAATCTGTTTATCTTTTTGTCATTAAAAAGTCATTTTACTTTAGTACCGTTTATCAGGCAACGAGTGCAAATACAATTTCTGTCCAGGAATATTTATTACGAAGGATATTTACTGAATTGCATTTTGCAGATTTCGCAAACGCAGGAATAGGTAATCCCTGATTATACAATCAAAGCGATACACCCTCCATATCACGGTACCGGCAAGATAAATCCTTGTTTACCTGTTATCATGCTTATTTTTTTTTAATGAAGGGTACATCGTAACAGGATGTATTTATATATTTCTTTTAAGTGGAACTTCCGTGTCATTATTCTTGGACATACACTTGCTCGCAGTACATTGCCCAAGGCTTGTGAATTAATTGACTGAAGAGTTTTTGTATGACTAGTTTTGTTGCATTTTTATCTATTTATGTAATTAACGTAACATACTGTGTCTATACCCCTTCTGAATATATTATTTACGTGTTATGACTCCTTTATATTTTATGCAAATTGTACAATGTTTTTCAAATCAATGGCTTTACCTATGGTTTTGGGAATTTTCGTATGCATTTCTTTTATACGATTTGAAATCGTATATAAATACAAAGAAAACATATATATATATATATATACGTATAATAGTGGAGTGTGACAATAATGAGCGAACCAATCATTATTTTCTTCCTTTCAAACAATCGTTCGACAATTTACTTCGTTTCTAAAATTCCAAGTCTCTAGATCCCATCACGGAATTTTTATGGTACTTAACTAAATGTCCAACAATTTCTACATTTCGAATAATCGATATCTCGTTTATTCGATTGAATGTTTACTACTTCTAATTATTTACATGTAAAATTTGATATCTACTATCGTGAACGATGTGTATAATCAGAGATTCTAGAATGACGAATCCAAATTAATAATACGTTATTTCATTATATTTAAAAATTAAAATCCAGACTTCCCCCGGAAGTCGCTCTAGGCGCTGCATCATCGGTATAAATTGAACGCACGCGTCAATAATATTAATCGATAAAATCAACAATTAAAAATCTATAAAGCATCGTACCTGTCTGTAGTGTATGAATACATTATTAAAAACCTATTAAATTAATCATCTTACAATACAATATAATTATAATGTAATCTAAGTTCGCGCAATTTTCACTGAGAGGATCGAGCGAGCGTATCGTAGCTTTCAGAAAAATACGATTTTCAATGACTTAAAATCAGTCGTTATTAAAAGTATAGGGAATACGATTAGACAGTGATTACGAATGAAATATTGAATTAAAACATAAGATGGAATATATCGATTATTACGGAAAGCACGAAATGGCTCGCCGAGCGTAATAATTGTGAGTCCCCTCGACTTTTTTTTCATTATCGACTTCTCTGTCTCGTCTTATGTACAAAAATTATTCACCTTCGTTTTATGATATTTATACAGTTATCACTTTCCACCGCTCGCCCCCATTTTCTGCTGACATTTTATTTCATTCCACAAGTTTAGCAGGTTATTTAGTCGAGCCATTGCAAAGGATGAGGATCGTTATATTTCGTAATCTAATAAGTATTTGTTCAGCGCTCGATTAATTTTAGAGTCCTCAATTAGTATCTCGTCCGTCCCTATTTACTGTATATGTATATATAGTTATAGTATCTCTTATTAGATGTTATGTCATATATGTTACAACAGTTTAATGGCTAATTGTTATAGCGTTTTACGGAGTAACAACGTATAGCATTCGTGCTACCGTATGTAGTATTATATTTGTTACGTTTATGTAACTTAAGTTTAACGCTAGATGAACGTACTTCATTCACGGCAGCATCTGTTCTATAAAATGTATGGCAGAGTAATTTTAACTGCAGACGTCAAAACGCGATGGGCGAGACGTTTCTTTTCCCTCTTCACATTATTACAGAAAATTAAATGATCGTACAGTCACTTTCTTTAAATTTTTTACACTTTTTTTTTTTGGTTAAATCGGGTTATTGAGATTAGGAGCGTCTGAGTGGATTTTTAGTATATAAATATTCATTTTGATTGTTAGTTCATCGACTGTGAATAAAAGTCTCATTGTAGTATTTTTGTAAAACAAAGTAAAATCCTTCAGTTGAATTTCTAACAAAATACTAGATTTTTAGGGTTTAAAATTTTTTGTTTTTAGTCCGTTTAAAGGAGAAATAAAAAATATCATAAATTAGGTATCAGTGTGATTTGTTATTACTTGATTGTAATGTTAAATGGTTCTTTCATGGGTTACTTCTTGATTCATAATATTCTGTAAAATTCATGACCACGCACTTATGCTTGTATTTTCATTAAAAACCAAACTGAATCTGAAAAGTGCTCAGTCTCCAATTTTTCTAATAAACTTTGAACTTGCAATATAAATATATAAATTCATCAAATCACTCTATGACAGAAGATTGCTTAATAACTGGTTATTTCTTTTAAATAGAAAAAATCAAAATTCACTAATTAATCCTCATTACGGAGGAGTACAGCTATTCATATGAAATTTCACCCAAGAGTCTTTCGCAACTTTATACAATAAGAATATCAATCGTTTCTCTTATGTTTAATTTGAGTAATGAAAAAATCTCAAATGTGCATGCACACTGGCTTCTACGATACTGAAGACATTACCTCATTTCATATAATTTAATACATTCCAGCTTCATTCGCAACACTGGTATCTAAGCTTTCTTTGTACATAAAGCAGTTTCCCTACAAGATTTCTCCACAATGTAATTAAATTGAGTCATAGTTGGTAAGAGATACGTTGTCTTATATCCTCTTAGCATTTAATTATGTACACTCGCTTAGAGCTTAAGGGAGCAACTTTCTTAAAATTCCACAGGCTCCAGATCTAATGTAATTTCTTAAAATGCTAAGACTCTAAGACTACATCACTGTACAAATTGCAGAATATGCGCAACAGACACAGAAGTGCACTAAGGGTAACCTACGCCATTTTTATTTAATTATTATTACGGAAACAGTAGACAAAGAGCACGGTCAAATATCAGATAATCTTCGACTGTACTCCTACTGGATCGCAGGGGAGATTTATCTTCCGTTCGGCGAAATCGATCTGCGATTCGAGAACTAATGCAAACAAGATTTTAATATCTGGTCCGAGAAGCAGCATCATTTTTCGTTGCGTTGCGGACGCGATTATTACAATTATTTTGTTTTACATATTAGGAAAAAAACACATCAACTTCGTTTTCAATGTCTTTCACGTATGAATATCGTCTTAATACTAAATATACTGGGGATTCGAGGTATTCTGACAATGTATGTACATCGGTCAATAATGTTTTGGAATGGCTTATTTGTCCTAAAAAATAACCTGGAAATGTAAGTCCAATTGTTTATTTATGGAATAGTTCGAATTCACGGTATAGATTTTTTTTCATGTGAATCATGGGGAATGTCAAATTGATTATACCAATTATGCTTTCCGGTAGGTCTCAACGGTAGAGATTCACTTAAACGAAACTGTCGTCGTAATGTTTGATTAAATGATAACGTGGGTCGTATTGAACACGGTAATCGATAAAACAGTAAGTACATATTTATAGGTTAATTTTGGAAATCGTTCCCTGGTCGTTCCGTAAAGATTTAACGAGCACAGGAAATACAGTTTACGCAATAAAAAAACCATGAAAGCTCGTAAAAAGTCTGCAGTTGGTGCAAAAAAAAGGATGAACGTGCCTTAAATTCGTCAGAACATTATTAACTTACTCCATATGTTTTTTCGCTTGTATCGTTTTAGACACAATATACGTAACGTGTCATTATTATTATTACACGTTTTTTTTTTCAATTTTCATTTTAAATGTCCTTTGCGTTTCTATCTATAAGTCTGTCGCCGAGAACCTCTATTGGGTTTTCCCTTATCTAGCAATTCTTATCGTGCCGCAAGTTGAATTACATGTTCATTATTAGATTTTTTTTTTTAAATAAAATCAGAGAACATTAAAGTGTGAGTAAGAAATTACAGCGAATGAAATTCCTATACATTTATACAGCACGCCTCGTATTTATGATATAACGATTTAAGCTATTGTCGTAATGAGCGACAAATTACATTTTTTTTTCTTGTTATTAAGGTGTCACGGTATATATGGATTTGAGTGGAAATGGAGTAAGATATAAAGAATAAAGAAAAGACATAAACGAAATTGATGATATTTATGAATTTTTTTTTTTTTCATCCTAGGACTAAGTATGGACTGAGTTTCTTGAATATTTAATTTATGCCCGGATTACCGAGACACCTGGTATAAACTATATTGCACTATAACTATAACTAGCTATTGATATATTTTGTAACGTATCTTTCCTTAACTCGATACCGATAACGAAAAATCCGAGAGCGAATTATTTTCGAGAACCAACCTACGTTACTTTCGGTCGTCCACCCTTCGCTCATGCAGCCGCAAACCAGGCAGGCGCCAGCCAATTCTTTTTTCACCGGGAACTGACGAGCCGGTATGAACTGGGAGTTGGGGTGGAACAGGCCCAACTCCACCAAAACGAGAGCTCTGACGGAACCTATCAGAAGAGACGATAACTTAAAGGATTCTGTAGATTTTTGTGGACGCGTAAAATCGAGAAACGCAACCGTAGGTGCTGATCTTTGGGGGCGCGTAAAATCGACGGTTACGGAAATGCACGGCCGTTCAGGCTGCTAGGTTGAGCTAGAGAGGGTCGGAGTGAGAATCAGGCGAACAGTGCGCGATACAGAGAGCAACGGATCGAGAACGTAACAGAACAAATCTGAACCGTCAAACTGAAATTCCTTCACCAATTAATAAATTCGGAGTGCTCACCGGAGCTGGTGCAGCTAATCCATGAAGGCCGAGAACTGCATCCAGAGGACACTCGAATGGGCACTGCACTGCACTTCCGGAACACTCACAGGAAATCCATAGAATTTCCTGGATATCGCGAGAGCAACGCGAGAACTTTCTGTACCGTAGCGAAACACAGCTAGAAAAACTATGAACAGATAGCCCGGGAGCGCGAGGCAGCTCGTGATACCTCGGTCGGTGTCCCGAGACAGACAATTTTGAAAAAATAGCCAAATTCGAGAACTAATCATTCTGATCATCTGATTGGTCGAGATCCTTATAGCCGGTAAATTTTCCATCTCCCTCGAGTCGTCTCTTTAAACCTAATCGAAAGCGTTCCTTAGCGGATCGGTACGTAACACCTGTGGAGATCCTCCAAGGCCGCTTCCCCAGGGCATCGGGCGACAGCTGGGCACCACATCCTTAACTCGGGTCAGGGGGTTCCTCCCCTGCCCTTAACCGTGTCAAAACTATAGCTCCGGCCGCTCTACAGCCCTTTGCCCATCTCTAGTGGGGCGCCGGTATCTCAGCCGGGCTTCTGTCGGTCGGTGAAGACGTCTCCGTCGGGTCCTCGCCTCTGCCGGGCAACTCGGTACGTCGAGACTATCTCCCCACGGCAGATTCCAGCACCTCGACCTCAACTAAACAATACGAAATCTTCCGAGAGCATTGGCCTAACTATAAGTAGCTACTGAGCAGGGTGGCGACCCGAAAGGGAACCAGAAAGCGAGAACGTTATCGGTATCGGTAGCCGGAGTCGCCTTGTGACCGTAAATCGAAAAATCACGTCACAATTTATATACAAACAACTGTACAAAATTGCAGTCTGTGTGCATTGTTCGGACGAACGAGCACGTTGGGAAATCGGGTCAGCGAAGTAAGTCAATCTATTCCATCCTTACTTGTTGGCACAGTCAACATTTTTAACATGGTTGTAATACCCATAACCCAAAAGTTCAACCTTAAGACTACTTGGTAAGCAGAACTTGATGACCCAGACGATGACTCGATTCCCTTAAATTAACCCTAATTTATATTTCCACTGGGGAAATAAATTTACTTAGTCGAGTTTTCATTGGCAATAAGTGGTTATTTAACCAACAGTGAGTATCATCGAGCATTTCAAACGTCGTCACTAAGAATCCTTCATTTTGGAATTGTTACACACATTTTTCATGGGGAATTGTGCTTCTTATGTTTGGAAGTCATTATTGTCATTGTCAACCTTCATGTATTCACTGATCATATTATGCGTTTCATTATCACTGTTAAATATGACAATTATTTGAGCGTGATTCGTAATATATTATCATTTTTGGCTAAGGTCCAACTTTACTTGTTGTCACTATACTCGTTACGCCATTTTTTTTCTTGAATCTTTCGGCCATCCCTTTTTTTTTTACCGGTTTCCTATGAAACGCTGGCTGTACGCCAGCCGGATAAGATTTACAACTGTCTGTGCGCGATTTAATCTTCGGAATTCCTAGCGGGACTTTTGTAAAGCTCGATATGTTTCGCTTTTGTTCCTGGACGCGAGGACGTACGAATCCAAGAAATACAATCGCGAAAATGACGCATGGAAGACTGACATTAACGTTGACAAATCATTTTTGCTTTTACGATATTCACGTCGTTCGTTATCTTTTTTGTTTTTCCTTTTTCTTCATCCTATCTAGCCTAACCTCGTATTTTCGAGTATCTTTGGTTTATCAAGACTAGAGGTTAGATTGGGTTACCTTCTATATGTCACTACTCTTGAGTCACTCTCGTACCTACTTGAAACTTACTCCCGATATTAATAAGTTCTAAACGCATGGTAATATTGCCATCGATTAGACGACCAGATTCGCCTTATAATTAATCTATCAATAATGTCTCTTAAGAATGTAGGAGAAGATGAGATTTCTCAGGATCAATAGCATTAACACCAACGCCATCCGGCTGTCTTCTTGAGATTTTCGTGGAGGAACCGTTCCTATGATTGCTCGCAATTATTTTTCATCTCCAGTCAAATAATCTGACCTAACGAGAACACGATCACAATATCACTCTCTAAAAGAGTCCTGAATTCAGGATCTTCATCGTAGAAGTTCTATTCACTGGGACGACGAGGACTTCTCCGAGAACGTCGACGATGCGCTCGACACTTGATGCGTCCGATCCTCCCTGGGACGATCAAGATTACGTGACCTGGCCGCTACCTTCTCGGAGATGCTGCGTATTATCTCCATGTGAACGTTTTCCATCGAGTCCGACGACTTTGGACGAGACCCCAAGAAGGAATATATTAGTTGAACAATCTTCAAATATCCACACTCTTTACAGTCTGAATATTTATCTAGGTAAGTGGTTCACCTGAATTGAATCTGTGCAGGAATCTTCGTTAGGCGGGCTTTGGCCATTCGACCTGGTGCGAATAGGCGGGCTTGGTGTGTCCGTGAGCTCGGGGAGCTCCTGAACCGTGGACAGGTTGCATTCGTCGGTACCATACACCTCCATCTCGGTCGTATGCATCTTCTCGTGTTCGTCCGGACGATGCTCTGGACAGGGAGGGAGGTGTATGAGAGCGACCTAGCTAACAGATGTCTCCTCGACGGAGGGGCTGGCGAGGACCTGGGGCTCACCGTTCGCATGCTTTGAGTCCGACCTCCCCATACGCGTGGGGCTGCTCCTTGATCCCGATGTGACACTCTGCATCGTTTGACTCCTTGCACCAGAGAATCTCATACTGTACACGGGTCGATTGCCACTTTGTGCACCAGGAGTCTATACATCAGAATATATATATATATATATCCTCCGTTTCATATAAATCTTAGATAAACATTTCACACGAGCGTCCAGGAAACTTCCACACGTGCCTCTCGAATTTTATTATACCTGGCTGATGATCCTGACCTGGCACAGGGGTCGATAATTCACTTTATACGGTGTGAGGGTCACTTTTCTTCTAGGGGCGAAACTGTTTTTTTTTTTTTTCCATCACCCTGGGAGTATCGACATAGGCACAAGAAAAGCTTTGATAGCGACGTGGCAGTTTTTATTTCGCAGGACGCCCTCTCAGACATTTCTTTTTTTTTCCCTTGCGTTATGAAGAACGATAGGAAGGTCTACTGCGACAGGGTGAACCGTGCTATTCTTCTTTAACGTTGTCCCTTGCCAGTCTAGTGAAAGCCATTGTTCCAAGAAAAAAAAACAAACGTAGAATCTTATCGAGAGTCAAGTGTATCCGTCTTCCCTGACTCGTGGAAGATGCATTGACAGAGATAAATTTTGAATTCAACTCACATTTGCATGACCAGGCCTGACGTTCTTATATGGCTGGAACAGGACCAGGTAGACCTTAGGCGTGAAGAGGCAACCAAGCGCAACCGTCGCAGAGATGTTAATGCACATGCACATACTGGCTATCTGTATCTGTCGAGAAGCAGAAGATAAACCCACTTCGTTAATGAGCTCGTAAACTCACATGCACGTCACACAGAGTACACGTCCATTACAGAAACTAAATATTACATTCTCGAGTTTTCTTTTGAAGCTGAACACAACATTTGAGAATATACCAACATAACGCTTCAAAAATTCTATACAGATGTGTACCCGAGAGTTTCATCGTAACGAGCTTCCCACCATGAGGATCCTCGTGCAAGGACAATAAGAACAACGGCCGTGGGTAGTAGATGAAAGGAAGAAAAAAAAAAATGAAACCAAGAAAAATTGAGAACAAAAGCAGCAAGCCACCCCAACGACAACAAGTACTGTATCTTCTCGCAGCTGTGACGTATCTTCTGTCTTCGAAAGCTGCCTTCAACGAGGAGACTCACGAAGAGAAAATGAAAGTTCCGACGAGTGAACGTTATCAGTGAAATGACAAAGGACGAGTCACCTTTTCGGGGAATGCTGAGCGGCGTACCTTGTAGTCGTTGTTGGTACCAAAATAAATTGGTACAAAGGCCAACCACACGATGCAGGTTGAGTACATGGTGAAGCCAATGTATTTGGCTTCATTGAAGTTTTCTGGTATCTTGCGTGTCTTGAATGCATACAGGGTGCACATGAGTATCAGGATCATGTTGTAGACCAGCGACATCATCAGGGAGAACGTAGAGACCCGACAGGTGAGTACAGCCGTCAGTGGATAAGGATGAATCTCCTTGGTATCGGGTGGTTCAATAATTAACCAAACGATAGCTCCGACCAGTTGAACTGCAGTGATCCCTGCGCACACGGGCATTCCGTAATACAGGATCACTGAAGAGGATCTTGAGGTGGTCGGGGACGATTAGGATTAACAGGACGACGGGGAGGATCAGGATCCGCGACTCACCGATAGCGATAGCAACTTGACTCCTTGGTGACGTATAGGACGGCCTCTTGATACTCTTCATACCCTGATTGAAGATCCTTGAGATACGATTTGTCTTCGTGAGGATGGCGCTGTAGCAGATACTCAGACAGAGTCCCAAGCCTATTCGAAGATAGGTACAGTTCCAGGTGGTTGGTCTGCTCAGGATGACGAAGCTCATACCATAACAGGAGAGTATGCCTACGAGCAGTACGTAGCAGAGTTCCCGACCGGAAGCCATGATCACTGGGGTACGGTTGAACCTGTTTTATCACAGGAAAGCATTGAATGATCTCTTATCGCGTTGAAGCCTCACTTATATTTTCTATTAACAGGCTGATCATTACCTTATGAAGACAGCCGTCGTGAAGAGTGTACTGAGTATACCAATGGAGGCAAACGTGAGTGGTACTATAGCCCAAGGACTGGTCCAGGGGATGACCTCAGCTGCAATCTTGATGCATCGGCTTTTTGTGTCATCTGGTGCATATCCAGGATCACAATTGCGGCAGGTGTCGTTGAAAACATATGCTTCCTCGCGACAGGCGTGGCAACTCCAGCAACAAGCTTCCTGAAACCGCAATTATTGTCTTTGTTACTCCGGCGTAATGGACCATGGGGATTTGCTAATCCCTTCAGAGTTAATGTCGGGGTTCGGCCCCTACGACGTGGAACATTAAACGCCTCAGCCCCCGATACGAATTGTCCTTCTGTTTCTGGGAGAAATTTTTTTTTTCATAGTCAATCTCACGAAAATACCCAAGCTACACCCTGTGCACGGGGTCTGCTTTTTTTTTTAATCATTCCGATTGTCATAGGCCTCCCTTACTCGGTGGCCAACGATGATGACTGCCAAAGAGAAAGCCTATGATAAATTACTTCTAGAGCAGCACCTCATTGTCTCGCTACCCTATTGCGACAATGGCGTTACTCTTATACCGGAATGACAAGGGAACTTCTGCGAGAGACACGGCCGGCGGTCTAAGTTGAAGTTTCTAACCTGAAAGTGTCATCGCGTAAATTTCTTGGCTTAATCGGCACTTGCTGAAAGGCACATGCTCATTAGAGTAGTATTTGTTACTTGAATATTCTCTGCGACACGCATCTCTATATGCAGCTATCAATTATGCATAAAATGAATTGAGTATACATATATATTCCCACAAGGTGGGTAACAAGCACAGAGACACATATAATTAATAGACTGTAATAGACGGTTTACAATGAGAAATGTGCACGGACTGGAGGATTTGATAATTAATATAGTAATTACCGCGTTTCCATATGCCAAAGGTCACGCGAGAGATAACTTAATGATAATTTATTCTGATCCATCGTACAATGTTAAATCTGAACGAAGAATTTACATAGTGAAAGTCATTAAATTAGTTTGCGCCTACCGATTAATCGATGATGAAGTTTACCTCGATTGAATCCATAAGGATGAGGAGCGTCGCGACGCCTAAGAAAGTCTGAGGAGTTTTTGAAAACTCCTTGGGAAAACTCGCCTCGAGCAGTACTCATAGAAAGACGCTGATAGTTAATATAGTCGAAGTAACGGATTGAAAGTCGAGCCTCTGCTTTCATGTGAAAAGTTTATCAATTTTAATTAACCGGAGTAGAGAGTAGAGTGCAGCTCGTGAAAAAAAGATATCCAAGATACGTCGTGGAGACGTCGGTATAAAAAAATATATATCTATAATACTGTATCGATGAATATCGTTAAAAATAAAAACTTAGGACGTCTATTCTTGGTTCTTGTTCAAGACTTCCAGTAAATAGCTACGTTTCGCGCTTGGCATTTGCGTCCAGACTGAAAAATTGAGGCTGTACGTCTTCTGGTTCTGGAATGGACCGTTTCCTCAATTGCTTTTCTGCTTCGTCCCACGGGAATGCTTTCTTATATACTGCAAGCTACTGTATTCTCTGGATGCTATCTAAGGTGTATACCTTATCGAAGAGATACGAAACCTCCTGTACCCTTTGGTAATCCAGGGTAAAATTCTAATGTGATGATAGATCTTGTGAGACAGAATAAAATTCGTCATACGTTTTCATATTTAAATTCAAAGAAATAGAAGGGACTTTACGTATGTATACTGACTTGATATCATATTCTGTTCCATGACTGCACTCTATTCTCTTTGGTATATCTCCTGATATAAGATACCTGCCAGAAGATATATGCAATAAGGAAAGTGGTAGGATCCGATATGCTTCCTAGAACCGAAAGAGATAGATCACTATTACCGGCAAGTATTCCAGTTTCAACAGAGTCTATAACGAAATTGTCGCATCTAGATGGCACTGTATGTAACCTTTTCTAGGTGATAACTAGGTCAACTTCAATTGTCTTTAGGTCATAGAGAATCAGTAGTAACTTCAGGATACTTTCTGAATAAATAGATAAATCCAAGTATTGTTGAATTTTTAGATCTATTGGTCAGAGGCTGCTGTTATCATCTGTAATCACGTATTTTAAGATCATTGTATGCTTATGATAATTGCTGTTGGGAACAAGGATGGATTCTTGATAATATTATTTGAAGCTTACTGTTGCCATTGGAAGAATTTTCCAAGGGTGTTAACTTCCTTTATTCTATTTGTATAACGTTTTTGTCGTTTAAGCCAGGTTTTTTTTTTCTTTTGAACTCCTCCAGCATGGCTACCACATATGGAATACTTGGCTGCTGCGGTGGAAAACGGTAAATTTGAAAAAGCATTACTGTCCAGCTGCACGTAAGCGTTCTCGAGTTGTCGAGGAAAACATTCTCCAGCCAGGGTTGGAATAGTTTTGCGAGAAAGTATTGCCGAGCGAAGCGTTTCCCGTCGAAAACTTGTTTATAGGCCTCTTCAACTCTAGCAATATCGGCTCCATAAGCCATCAGACAGTTTACTCGTGTAGGGAGCCAACTGGTCGTTTCCAACTTGTCCCATACCAGGTAGAGACAATAAAAGTGATACGTTTCTCGTTAGAAGACACTTTGTAGTATCGACAACAATTTTTTTGAACTTCTTCTTTCCCCTATTGGCAAACCTTTTACTGTCTTCGAACTTCGGGAAACTTCAGTGATGGACCAGAAATAAAGTGTAAAAAGATAAGGGATACGACGGAAGCTCTTTTTCTTAACCCTTTCAGTCCCAGCGGCAGTTCTGTGACAGATTAACTTTGAGCTCCTTTCAAATTAGTGACTATCAACAAGTTATAATAAACAGTCCTAACAATTTGTTGCTTTATATAAAAAAAAAAAGAAAATTAAAATTAAAATTTTTAAACATTTTTTCAACTAAGAGTAGTTCCGTCGTCAGGGAACTATTCTCAGGAAAATGTATAAAGGGCATGAAGTTCAGACGCAAATTGAGAGTCCTGGTAGTCGAAGGGTTAGTGCCCTCCTCCAGGGGTTCCTTTAGCGCTATCAAGGGATACCGTGTATTTTTCCAAGTATCCCTACTAAATCTCCCTAAAAGTATAGAGGGTTGAAATTTCGTAAAGTACAACTAAGGGTGAAATGAATGAGAAAATAAGAGGAGAACGTCTGATTTGCGTAAAATGTAAATCGATCGTGATCGACACTCAGATTACCTCGTAGTAATGGCTTACTGTGATTTTATCGAACGTGCCTGTGTGAAAGCACCCTTAAGGGGTATCGCCACTTTTCGAGAGTCATCGAGATAGTGAAACGAGTCCGTGAAAAAGTGTCACTGGGAAACTTCGTGCGAAACGATTTCTGATATCACAATAAGGATTTTCTGTAAAAATGGCCCCTAGTCATATCTGTCAAGTTGTTTGTAACGAAGCAATACCTTCACTTTTTTTTTGTTATTACCTGAAAGTTCCTAACGTGACCCAAAGGGCAGTTCTCACTGCACGTACTTCGTGGCACGTGATGTTCACCTGGACCCGTCGCCCATCGTGTCATATTTATATCGAGTTCCAGTCTGTGGGAAATAAGAATGACTCAAAAAGAATATTTAACAATTTTTATACGCATTTAAGTTATTTCCATCCCAATTAAAAACTCACGTTTCTTTCCAGGATCCAATCAAGGTATAGTCGAAGCGTCCTTCGTCCTTTCTCTGATACTGATAAATATTGTAGAAACCATAAGCATCTCCGTCGGAATTGAATTTGATTTCGGTTCCCTGGCGACCTGAAAAAAAATATATATAACACCTCTTTACGTTTTCCTCAATAAAGAACAGACTTGTTTTCTGCTAGAAATTTTTTTTTTTTCATAACCTAAAAAAGTAAGCGATTCTGTTTCCGATTTCAAAAAGTATAACCCACCGGGAGGAATATCGCGAATTATTCGAACTTATAGGTTATGGAGATGCAATCACGTTAGACTTCCTTCAGAACGTTATTCTCTGCCTTCGGCCGGTTCAGCGAAGCTCAGGAAGTCTGAGTAAAGCTGATTGAATATTCCAAGTCACTATAGACATACATGCTGAGCAGCAGTCGCCAGTCTCTTTTGGTATATTCATAAGAAAAATTCCACATACGACGTATCCTACACATGGACCGACAAGCCAATTCTAATTATTGTACGAAAGCCAATGGCGTAAGTAGAACATTTTTCTTGCGAAAACTTATATCCTCGAAGCTTTATTTCACGAGTCCGGAGGAAAAGCGAAGTAGCGAGCATTCGCTTCACGAAGTGACCAATTTCGTTAAGTGGATACGACTTTATATACAAAAAGGTACACGTAGGTAGTTCAAGATGAAGACTCTGCGAGGCCTAACGAAAATTGCCAGCATGATGGGAAACGAAGGTAAGACGTTAGACGGAGCTACGAACATTATTCAAATTAATGGGGGTCCACACAGTAATTGCCCGAGCAATGAGGAATATAGTGATTTCGTGAGTAAAAAAAGGGAAACCACAAGGAAACAAAAAGAGGCAAATCTTTTCGAGTTGATGAACCAAAGAAACTGCCCACGTAGCTAATCAAATCTTTGTCCCCGTGTAATATAAAACTAATTTCTATAATTGATAGAATCTCAATAAAACTAACAAAAATGTCGTCTCCCCTTTATTCGCTTTTTTAATATCAAAAATTTGCCCAGTATCTCTCAGCCTAATAAATAACCGTTAACGCAATGGCCACTGGTACTGAATATACATTTTGCATATTTAATCTTTGAACTTGGCAAAAAGCAGTTTTAGCGCCGTTACTTTTCCTTCCGAGTAAGGTTAGGTTACTTTTACAGGATCATGGAGTAACGCATGGATCCACTACGTATACATTTACTCGGTATATAGGTATGTAAATTAAATAGCATACCCCTCGTACCAAGCTTCGCTCTTTTAACGAATAGCACAGCCGCTGCTCGCATGGTGGATTTCATTTTTCTAAGTGAAATTAGAAACAGACCAAGAATACCGAATAAAAATTCAAATACCGAGACGATCATCGTTCCGTTGCGGATGCATCCCTGCGTTACGATCAAACGTCAATGACGTATACTTCGATATGGCGAAAATTTACAACAGAAACACATTAAAGTAAATGCGTGTTCGAAGAAAAAAAAAAAAGAAAAAAAAAAGAAAAAAAAACTTACAAATCGGCATAAGAATAAAGTGCTGAGATTTTGGCGAATTTTCGATAATAAAAATAAGATCGATCGAGCGGGCAACCCATCAATTTTTCGCCGAAGGTGGAGGTAAAGAATCGTAAAAATAATACATTACAAAGTAGTGTGAATTACGTATATCGCCAATTTCCATATTATTGCTCGAGGTTTGACTTTTTCTATTGGGACTTTTTCTTTCGTCCTTTTCACTCTCTTCTTCGCGTGCCCTACGGTCGGCACTTCTTTGACCTCTCTATTTTTCTTTATTTATGCTCTCCTTTTCCTTTCGCCTGTCGAAGCGATTTTATTTCTTTGCACGTCCACGTCGCGACGCGAACTTCCGAGGG